ATAAGTCGCGTGCGCATATTGCGTGACATTTCCTTACTTCGCTTGTTAAATAGAAAAGTTCCCGGTGAAAAACGTTAATATCATTGAACTATACTACTGCGAGTATATATGTTTGTGCGAATAATGCGGAAAATACAACACAACTACTGAACCATATATTTCCTGGATGAGTATAGATATAGGTGTAATTTGAGTTATCAATATATAACATTTTTGGTCTACAAATGAAGCTATATAAGTAAGTACATGAAAACTCCTGTCGTGGACCTTATCACAACAATGTACCGTGGCCTTGGATCCGAGCAGAAGAAGCTACCGGGTGATTTTTAGTCAGTAATAATCTGATATTCCCACTCGCTCCACCTAGGACAAACAGCAGTCATTTGAAGATTCCCCTCGACGAAAACTCCACCAATTTTAAGTGTGGGATGCTTCGGCACGAATGAATCGGCTCGACCGGAGTGATACCACGGCCTCACAGAAAACCGGCGTGAAATAACCACAGCCTTGTACTTCGTAGTCTGACTGAGGTTACCGGAGGCCCAATCCTTCCCCTCCCCCGATCCCTCCTCAATCCCTAATGTGGGTATGGGTATATAATGGGTGGCGCTGATTGCTTACCATCAGGTAATCCGTCTGCTCGTTTGCCGACATATTACATAAAAAACATTGAAGCAGTTTAGCTTTGTATTGTCCTCTGTTCTTATGTCGAGCACAAATCTTAAATTAATTTTGACTAAAATTTAAGATTAAAGAAAGTTACCCTTCAGTTCTGGTAAACCCGAAACCTTTCACTCAGCAATCACATTCATATCTGGTTGTAACTCCGACTAGTTCTATTGAATAAGGACCATCGAACGATCATCAAACCGTATAATGAATTCTGTGCCTTAACCTCCACCACTACGAGCTTTGATTAAGTATAATATAGTAACTATAAAATACTTTCGTAATAAATGTAATACCAACTGTGAAAGAAATTGCTATAAACCACAGTTGTCAGTGGTTAGTCGCAATTTAGGTACACTTTTTACTCAACCGCGGAAGAGTGGTGTTATGTCTTTGACTTTTTGCTAACCTTGTGATCGGTAAACTTGGCTTTTAATTTGTAGTAATCTTGTTTATTTGTGGAAAGCTTCTTTGTGAAGATATTGTTATCATTGTGATTGTTAATAATTGTATAACGCTTGAGAGATGAAAGTAGCTGTTTTTTTCCTACCAAAAGACTTTGTTTCGGGAAAAATAGGTTTGATCCGAAATAAATATTAAGAAAACATTATTCTTTGAGGTAGTATTAAGATTTTCTTAAATAATTTAGTTATCAAAAATAATTAAACAATATTCTGAACTAACCATAATACCAGTTGTATTCTAAGTTAGACTTAATACTATTACTTAAGTCAGAAATTCATATAGGTAATATTAATTTTATTGTGGCGCATAATTAAATTTAAAGTATTTAACCAATACTTTACATTTAGAATATTTCACAAAATGGCCGCGTGCGTCACAGACGTGCAACATTGAGTTCCGCAACCATCCTCTTTGACGTCCGTATAATTTCAAATGACCTAGAAATGCATATTTTTCTAGATATCTTTATTAGATAGACACAAACAGCACGACAGACTGTGGTACATCGTCTTCTATCCAGAATAGTACTGCTGGATGGAACTTGGTCGATTACTGTTCCTTAACCCACCCTCATATTTCCTCACTAGCGGTAAGAGATGGCACTCTTAATGATAACGAATAAAAAGTAATCTATTTATTTTACCAGACTATAATCTATTTCATTTCCAAGAAGAAACATCCATACAAACTTTCGCATTCATAATATTTGTCAACAGGATTCTCTCAAAAACAAATATCTATACGCTACAGACAAGCTAAAAAACAGAAACAAGACAGAAAACAATTGCTAACCTAAACACAGACGAACAGACAGAAACTAGAATTATTTACAAACATCTATTTAGCCCACATACCTATGTTCCTTCTTAAAACAGACTACGGGAATCTGGTTATTGCAAACAAAACTTTAAATACTCACAGTTAGACTTGTTACTCGGATTATGCTGAAATCCAAAGTTTCTTCGTAATTGCCAATTGCCAATAAAATATAACACAGAGTGCATTCTCTTGAACTTTCAAGGATTCAAATAGAATTGAAAGCTACTGACGATATGGCGTCATTATTTTAGTAGGTAGTACTGATGAAGTTCGAACTATTTGTCGAATTACATTGCATCATTATCAGCTGGCAGACGCCTGCTGTTGAACTAAGGCCTCTCCATTAGTTCTCCACGTTAAGCGAAAAGTTATCAATGGCTCATACACTGGCTCCCGCAACTCCGACGATGTCGTCGATCCACCTAACAGGAGGTCTCATATTATAGCAATAGTTCTCAAAATCCATTAATCAGACCAAAACTTTTGAAGGAATAAGATCCTTAAAACCTTCAAGAAACGAATTTACTCCTTCCTAAAAGACCGGCTATGACTCCTCTGGTGTTGGGCTGCGCAACTTGCTTACCTTCATCGACCATAAAAAAAACTCGCCTCGGTCGAATCATTGAATGGATAAAACTCTAGTCTCTTTATGTCTTCGAATATCAGGTATATAAAATACATACATATAATCCATCACACAAAACTTTCCTTGATCAGAATGTATATAATAAATGTAAAATGCGATCAGAATGACCTGATTGGCTGGTCACGTCTGCTCGTTGTAATCACAAGCGTCTTTTTGTTTGTGTCGTAAATCAATGGCAGTGGCCTGTGACAGTAACTGCGAGTAGTTACTACACTTTATTTTAATGTCGGTTAATGTCAATTATGTGAACGACTTTACAAAGGTATTATTGCCTTAAATGTGAATTGTGAGCGGTGGAAAGATTTGCTCAGAGTCTTTGACTGTTCTCTTGATGGAGTTTAGATATTTTGTGTTGTTCAGGTGATTGAATATTTATATACAGTTTTATCAATAAAACTGATTCAAATCAGTTTTAAGATGAGGCTCTTTTTTGTGAGGGGAAAATCATCAAATGACTTCTCCCGCCCAGGGCCCGGCGGGAGGGAGTGTCAGACTCTTACTGACTAAAAACCCCCTGTTCCTTCTCCTGCTCTGGGCCGAGGTCACGGTGCCTCATTGCGCTTACTCCGCAACCCCGGCTGAACATGAGGCTCTACAAGCTATATTACAAGTCCTTATAGGTGCTTTATGTGAACGTCAGAATTACCTAATTAGCTATCTTTTTTAAAGGCGGAACATCGTCAAATGGCTTCCCTCGTCCTGGGTAAGACGAGAGGAAGTGTCAGACCCTTACGGAGCAAAGTCACCCCGTTCCTTCTCCTGCTCCGAGCAAAGAAGTAACGGGATATGCGGTAGATTATTGCACTTGAACTAGCTATTCCGGCAATTACGTATTATGTATATTATTTTAGAAATACAAACTGTGACCTTAAACTTTTAGCTCAACTACTATATGAAAACAGCTGTGCACTTTATTTTCGAATTCCATAATAAAAAGTAAAAATATTACAAGAACACTTACATTTTACTATGGCGTAGGTTTAAAACATTCCATTCATAGGTTAAGACGGAACAAGACAGACATCGGAAAGAAACTCGCCACACAAGACAGCAGTGTGAAAGGTCAGAATGTCACACGGATCTTATAATAAATTGCTGAAGACAGAGAAACGATTCACTGGTTTTGTAAAAGTAGTTTTATTACGGCATACGGCCGCAAACGAGACCATAGACGCCTGCAACATCAGAGGAGGAGGAGTAAAGGAGCAAATGCGTGGCAGCCTTATAGGAGTTAGGGGATTTAGGAATGGGGATGGAGGGATAGATTGGACCTTTGGTAACTGTTCTAAATTCGATACTCATCGAACGCACGAACCTGATCGTTCACAGTAACCACATTCAACCGATATAGGGGCAAGGGATTTCGTAGATTCTCGTCGGGATTCTGTAAGGTCGTGGTGGGCTGGAATGGCTATCCAAGCCAGCCTATTCGTGCCAAAACAAGGCAATGTTAAAAATAAAGTTTCTATGTTGGCTTCTGACCAAATTGAAAGTCATCCATAACGAATAAAATAGATATTACTATAATTAAAGCTTATTTAGTTGGCTTTAGGCTAGATTGGTATGTGAAGTATCTATAATCTTCGTTTATTTTTTACATCAAACTTATGTGAACTGAACGCGATGATTGCCAGCATATTTAGTCATTATGATACTGTGTAAAAATAGATTAATTTTGAGGAACCAATTGATAGAAAAATGCATTAAGTGCCGGCTATGTGTAACGACAAAACAGCTGAGGTTAAGCTCCTCTTTATGTAAGTAAAATATACATATGCAACAAGTATTTGATTCCCACAATTAACTTATTAATATCTGTCAGTTTTAATACGACTTTATTATTAATAGTAGACATTTTTCTATCTATAAATATATATTATATTATGTATTTAATCATATTATACAACTCTATGATGAAGTATTTCGCGAAAGCAGTCTTGAGGAAACTGGTAGGATATCCCGTCGAGTCTTATGCAGTTAACTTAAGTGAGTACTCTGATAAATATGCATTATAGGTACCTATCTATCTACATGCTACAAGTTAAGGCAAAAGTTTCACTTTTTAAAACATGTTTACACTCCTCGTTGATCCTTCTCCACGATTTCCAAACAGGCTGCTAATAAAATCTCGAATTTACCGCGCGAAATCTCCGCCACCATTTCATAATTCAAATTGCATTATCTCGATGAATCAGTTGCAAAAAATAAGTAGATACTCCAAAAACATGCAATTTAAAACATCGAACCCCTTTAATGTAATTGATCAGTTCCAAATCAAATCGTTTATTACTGTTTACCGTACCGTAGCACCCGCTAATGTCAACATGCAACTTTTAAAATAATAATTACGACATTTTGCGAGTAGTAGTGGTAGTATTTGAGCGCGCGCGTTCCTCCCCCCACGACAGTTATGCGCGGACGCCATGGCGGCCCCACGCGTACTGACATTCTCGCGCGCCAAATTTAAATTCTAGTCATTCTTTTTTTAAAGTTAGTATAGACCATAAATGTTTTGACGGTGTTTTTATGACTGAAGACGAAGGTGACGAGGAATGACTGACTAGTGACGTGACAGTGACAGTGACGAGTGTGACAAAATGACGTGACTTGACTTGGATTGACTGACTCGCACGGGACTTCATTGACTGCAAAGGGGGAAATGCAGGTTGGTAATGACCTTTTTCTACTTTGAATTCAGAAAATAACTACCTATAAGTTATTAGTTATCATAAGCAATTAATCACTGTGTAGGTACTATCAGTGTCAAAACTGCATGGAGGATTAGTAAATACATAATAGGTACCTATTAAAAAAATAAGAAATAGGTTTGACGTTTATTTTCTGATGTAACTCTAGAAAAATTCATAGATGGTGGAAAACCACGTTCACAAATTAAATCGCCTGTAATTAACTTAAATTGCGTTAATATAAAAAGCCAATTTTAAAAAAAGAAGTCGCAACTCATTACTCTAGCAATCTATTATTCTTTAGAAATCAATCGAACACTCCATAACCTTTAGTTGAAACCTAGGTTCCTAGGTACATTTAGTCTGAACTGTACATTGAAAGTTGTATAAAAACAGATCTCATTCCGAGTCATGAGAAAAATATACATATAATACACTGGTATAAAGTATAACAATAATGTATAACTCAGTAACAATAGGGTTTAGAACAATTCATACCGATCGGAAACAATAACTCGATACACATAGAAAACTGACATTTTCCAACAAATAAATCGACTAAAAAGAGGTTTAATAGATAGCTGCTTTGTTCAGAACCTTTCGTCGTTTGTAGAAATCGTATAGGCAAAACCTCAGGCCTCACTGCTAAGCAAAGGCTTCTTTTCACACATCGACACCATCGCTTGGTCATTGTATGTAGGTTGGTCAAACTTGCAATTATATAGAAATTATAAAGTCCTGCTTTTCTCAAGATACTTTCCTTTAGTTTAAATATTGTCAAAGTTAAAATCTGTGTAAGATTGTCTTAATAAAATAGAAAGTCAAAAAGTTACAAAAATGTTTATGCTACGTGGTTAGGTAGATATTTCTATAGTTGAACTAAATTTGAATGTAAAAAAAACTTTAAATATCGCTATCTCCATACATAATAATGTCGCTATAACACTAAATAAAAAGCTTCCTATTTGCTTGACAATATTCATCAAATTAGAGTCACTTAAATCACTTACTCATGCTACCAAACGACCAACATGACAACCCAAGTAAAAGCAAAATGCTATTCACAAATTGAATTATTACAAAATAAATCGAATAAAAAACTATTTTAAATCGATAAAACATCTTCACTACTCGCTTTCTAAAACAAATACCTTTACAAATTAAACTGCAAATAAATCGATATACCTAAAACGTTTGAAATCGATTAATAAAGAAAACAATAATTTCGCTTTCGTACACAATGTGTAGATGTGGTTATGTGAGCAGCTGAGCGGGGGAAAGCGCGTTCACTTTCACCCGAGGTCACATACTGCTGCTCGTTATCACATACCTATTGAGATTTCCGAAATGTCTCTGAGTTTGGGTACCGCACCATGTCTAAGTAGTTTCAATGACCCTAACGTTAGGTACATTTATTATATAACTTTTACTTGGTTTATACAGTGGAGTGTTTGAAAACTAGTTTTTCCATGCCGCTTCACCCTCAGTATAAGGGTTTAGAGTAGTCTATGTAGGTACTATTTCAGAATATAATCAATATAGTCTGTGTTTTTACATGAGCAAATCCTCATCCAAACTTGTGTTAAGTATTAATATTTGTACATGTTTTAAAAACTGATTTTTCAATGCGAGATAAAATATTCTGGACTGTTATGACTCCAGGTTTTAACTCCAGACTAAACTTATATCTAATGATATCTCTGGAGCAGGAGATGGAACAAGTGGTTTTTAGTCATTAAGAGTTTTACACTCCCTCTTGCCGTACCCGACCGTTTTTAATTTAAGGTATCATAATATTACCAACCTCACTTGATTAAATATGTTCATTAACAACCGAATCATATTACGTCGTGGTGGCCCAGAGGTTAAGGAGCCCGCTTCTCATGCATGGGTTCGAAACCTGGCAAGTACCAATGTGACTTTTTTCGAGTTATATTTACTTTCTAAGATTATTTAGACACCACTGACAAACGGTGAAGGTAAACATCGTGAGGAAACCTGGACTTATAATTTCTAACTATAAGTTTGAAATCGCCAACCCGCATTGAGCAAGCGTGGTGATTAATGCTCAAACCTTCTCCGTGTGGGAAGAGGCCTTTGCTCAGCAGTGGGCACTTATGGGCTGATGATGATGATGAACAACCGAATCTGTAACTGACTAAATGATGTAACAAAGAAATGAATTGTAAAACTGATTGAAAAAGAGTAACCATGGAGTTTCTTCTCATTTTTTGAGATATTCGTGGAGAATCTACACTTTGGAACGAGCAAATAGCTTCACTAGAGGAGACGGACTGACTGACACGCATAAAGTTAAACCTCTTGAAATATATTTTCTTTTTCTTTTGTTATAAATGGTTTGACTTTGACTTTGTAAACAATTAATCAACCAATCAAAACATTAAGTAGGAACTTACACTAGTACTTCGTGTGCAATAAAAATCCATTCCGATAAATATTAAAACTGTACAAGTGAAATATTTCCTGCATCGCTTGAACGCGTTACATTAACAAAGTTTGCGTATACCTACAATTTCATTTCCCTGTAGTTGCCTACCCACCTCGCGTGATCTTGTCCTTAACTTTACATGCTTAGCTGCGCACACGCAAATTACAATCGTAAGCGATATATTTCAGGGAAAATGCGCCTTGAAAATTGTACACAGACATTTTGCTATTCATTATTTACCAGTATTCACTTTTGCTTTTTATGAACGAACATTTGGAGGTAAATATTTGGTTAAACTAATTTACTTAATGCAATCCAAAGGGCTTGCCTAGCTAAAAAACATATTAAACAACCGTCAAACAGTTTTAACAAATGCAAAAAAACTTCTTATAAACTGAATTCACCAAAAAAATTAAATGCAGCATGATATTATATTATCTACATTACCATCAATAAATAACAAAAAAAAGAAAACAATTTCAAATCGATAAAACTCAAAACAGCGCGAGTCTTTTATCGCTTTCACCACAGACAGACGTGCGGACATCACCCATCGATTTTCGAAACTACATTTACATAATGAAACACTTTCCCTTGTATATATCTTTGCTTTAACAATTATGCTAATATGTAACCTTGACAATATTAATATAAACATATATTCTTAATAAACACCGGAATACACACGATTATCACCCTTAAACGATGTTGTTAGGAGTCATAATTGTGGATAATTAGATGCGACCTTTAGACTCAGTTTAGTTGCAAAATAAACGCATTTAGTGATATTTGTCGGGTCTTCATGATACATTTAAATCCGTGTCTGAATCCGGTTGCGTTTTGCAATGTTGTCTGTTTGTTTTTGCAAGCAGATTGAGCAGATAACTACGCCCCGCAATAATATTTCGAATTCTTTTTAAGCCAATTTCAATTCTAAATTAAATGAGTTAATCTGCATTTATAAACAACAAATTAGTCTGACTTTTCTCCTTTTTTTACACGTTTTAACATTTATTTTTATATATGTCTGTGAATAATTCAATGCGTAGATAACATATTTGCCAAATTCTAGTATGTAAACCTAATTATGTTTATTCAATTACAATATTTACGTCTTTGTTTCCTGTCTGTGTTTCTTTAGTAAATATGTAACTGGAGTATGCTTATAATAGTCACATATTTCAACATTATACAAATTATCGAAATCGATAGAGATAATTATACAAATATCTACTTTAGCATTTGAATGCTTTGCTTTTAATAAAAAACTAAGGATCTACGTAGTCCGGTAACTGGTACCTATAGAGGTTCATAATAAGAGGAGCTGCATACCAAAAAAAAGCTTCTATTTAAATAATAGCATTTTTTGCATACACTGACTGAAGGATCAAGGAAAACCTCATTTGAAGGTTTATAGTTTTAGTAACGGACATGTTATTTTAATTATTTTCCTTCAATGTTTAAGGCTGTGCAAATATGTATAAGTATGTATAGTCAAACGTTAGTTACAAGGTTGTTTTAAACCTTCACAAGTATTTTTGGTTAATTTACTTAAATGTATAAACATAGTTACATAGGTACTTATTCGTGAAAATTATTTGACATATCTATAGCTGCTGTTTCACATATAAACAAGTATTGTTTCGATCATCGATCACTAATAAAGAACTTATTATTGATCGAAGGTTTCGATGCTTGTTTTCTTCACCTTTATTATTTATTTTTTTATGGGATCAGTTTATTTATACGAGCAGACGTATTACTTGATGGTAAGCAATCGGCGCCGCATTTTGACACCCGCAACACCAAGGAGTTACATGTGCTTTGTCGGCCTTTTGGGAATAAGTGTTGCGGATATTTAAAAATTGGGTAGGGATAGGGGAAGGGTAGGGATTGAGCCTCCAGTAACCTCACTCACACGGCGAAATATAACGTTGTGGTTGTTTCACGAAGGTTTTATGTGAGGCCGTCGTATCAATCCGGTCGAGCACTTAAGCTGGTTAATGCTTAAAGGTTTATTCTGAAAAATTTTTGGCGAGGAACTTAACTAGTTACAAGCCACATTAGGGGCTGATATTTCTTAGAATTAGAAGTTCGTCAATTAATTACCTGAAAAATCCGTTAAACATAAAAATTAACTAAAAATGTCTTCTTAAAGTAACAACACGAAAATCGAAAAAACCATTCAAATTATATCATGTTTCTACAGAAAAGATGTCTATAATTAAGATTCTTGCGTCATTAATTAAATCAAATGTGCGGTTTTATCGAATATCGTATTGATGCCTGCGGTTCACCGAGCTAGATAATTAATTGGTTCTTGATCGTACCACACGCGACCATCAACATATGTACATAAACATAAGACTTCATTCTATATGTCAATCACGTGAACATGTGCGCTATATAATTATAAATACTATATGACAAGGCAAATTCTTTTTTTATTAAATGCTATCTTTTTTTTCAAACCCAAAAAAGGCTTGGAAATTCTTGCAAAACTCTTATACATAGAAAAAGTTCCTGTGAAGGTTGTTGATGCTGATAGCAACTTTAAACCTTACATGACCTTCTGCTTCTATCTTATCTGGTTAATACCTACTACGTGCTGGTCCCAACCAAGCTCAGAATAGGACAGAAAATTACGCATTTTTCTAGAAAAATGTAACTCTAAATTTTTGTTTATTTGTTACAGCGGTGGCAATGGCGAGGGTCTGGAAGGGCGCGAGGAAGAAACTCAGTTCCCGACAGCCAGCATGATGAGGCAGTCGCCACTGATGCAGAACTGTCCTCTGAGGGGAGCTCCTAAATGTCCTCCTGCTTCTAAAAGGTAAGCTTTTGTCTTTAAGCAAATCCATAAGGAACATAGCAGATAGCAGTCTTGGATGCTTCTTATTATTTTTTTCATGGAGACCTACCGCCCTCAATCAATCAATCAATCAATCAATCAAACATTTATTGTGGATCATAGGTATGTGTAGTACAGGTCTTAAATATTTAAACATTTGGGAGCCCTTGGGAGATTGAAAGGGATACTGTCAGACTCTTACTGACGGATACCTCCTATAACTACTACTGTTTAATAGTGACACATTTTATCATAAGAGAAGTTAACATTTCATTACCTTTCGGGTAAATAATTGTTTTCTATATTAAACACACTTTGTCAAATCAAAAAATTATTGCACCGCATTTTACAGCATGTTCAACTTTACACCAGAAAAATATTAATAAGCAATCTTTGACAGTACCTTAAAGCTTGATCAATGACTATATTCTTCTAGATACCGCACCCACGATGGCACATGCAACAACATCAACCGTCCCCGATGGGGAGCCACCATGACTCCTGTCCAGCGGTTCCTTCCACCTTCCTACTCTGATGGTCTCCAGGCTGCGAGGCGGTCCATCTTCGGTTCCAAACTCCCTTCAGCAAGAGAAATCAGTTCCACCATACACGAAGATAGGAATGCGGAGACAATTGGCGTGACTCACTTGTTGATGCAGTGGGGGCAGTTCTTGGATCATGATGTGACGTCCTCGTCACAGTCCAGAGGGTTCAATGGATCTGTGCCAAGGTGCTGCAAGGATGGAGGGAAGGATTTCGTTCCTAAAGAGTTTATGGTAAGCTCATAATAGTTAGCTACCAAATGAAAACAATTTTAGTACTATCTAAGATATTTTTCAAAATATCCTTGGTTTCCATTTTCAGTGGTTTGAAAGAAAAAGGTTCACGTTTCCATAGCTCATTTTCAACCATTTTTATCATTTGTTTCGTAGCATCCAGAATGCTTTCCGATCCCAGTACCAGCATCAGACCCGTTCTACGGTCCTCGTGGCGTGCGGTGCCTGGACTTCGTCCGCTCAGCACCAGCACCCCGCGACGACTGCGCCCTCGGCTGGCGAGAACAACTGAACCAAGTGTCTGCCTACATTGACGGGTCACCGCTTTACGGCAGTTCCGCCACAAAGTCTGACAAGTTGAGGCTGTTCAGAAACGGTAAGTAGAACTTTAAAGTTATAGCTTTAAGGGTGGCTTTTAAGTAAATTCGTTTCTCTTTGTATAAATAAATAAAAATTCTAATAATTTTCTATCTAAATTAAATATCGAAAAAGTCTTCATGAAAGTCAGGATACATATATACGAATAAATAATACAATAATCGTACATCAAAATCTAAAGTATCGCTTTGTTATTTATTTATTTATATTTTATATTTTATTTCTTATTCACACAAAACAGTCTGAATGGCGGACTTAACGCCTTAAGGCATTCCCTAACGGTCAACCATAGGGTAGTGGAGAGAAATACACGACACAGGGGAAAAACCTAGTGTGCGGCAAAGTTTAAAAAAAATCAAGCTGTTGGTGCGAAGCAAGGACTCGGTGACCAAGAACAAATATAAGAGGGGAAATAAAATAGAGGACACAAACAATTTTTTGCCAAGATTTTGGCTTATACAAAACAATATTGGTGATCAATAGTTTCTGAAATAATTTATTGACTATTTTCACCAGGCATGCTTCAATACGGAAGAGTTCAGCAACGTCGACCAGTTCTTCCACCAGAACGACGTGATGAGCTCTGCCGCAAGGGAGCCGTGTCCACTGACTGCTTCAAGTCTGGAGACGCCAGGGTCAATGAGCATCCGGGGCTGGTGGCTGCCCATATCGTGTGGTTGAGGCAACACAACAGGTAAAACAATTGTTATTAAAAAAATGATATTTTATCTTTAACCATGGTACCCAACATAAGTCATGTGATCCATAAACATTGGATCGAACATTTAAATCCAAATCCTGAATGAATTCCATTCTAATGTAACTGGCTAATGTATATGACCTACTTCCTATAACCTCCTATAACCAATACTTTAAACCACTTTGTATACATAAGCTAGCATATACATAAGCCTACCTTATAATAAATAAATAAATAGATAGATAAATAATGTCATTCAAGATTAAAAACATTACAATAATGTATTTAAAGAAAGTAAAATTTCCGTAGTTCCAAATGAGAACAATCTTGTTCTTCGCTTTCAGAATGGCTCAAGAGCTGACACACCTGAACCCACACTGGAGTGACGAGAAGATCTACCAGGAGACGCGAAAGATTGTGGGAGCCATGATACAGCACATTACTTACAGAGAGTTCCTGCCCATTGTGCTGGGTGAGTTAGAAACATTAAAGTCTAGAAAAATACACGTGTCACTATAATTCCAAGCCCTTTTCTATTACTATTTGAGGTTTCCTAAAGAAGAATCTAATTATACTTTTTAGTACTCGTGATTCGATCAAATCGTTTTGCCAATAATAACTTACGATACTAAAAATGACTTTTTTTATGTGAAAGTATGGCACACAGGCATGCGGGTTATCTGATCCACCCATTGACACCCGCAACAACGGGGGTGTTACGAGAACATTGCCGAGCTTTTGGGGATTAGGGTTTTAGAGATTTAGAGATTGGGGGGAAGGATCGTGATGTATGGTATCACTGAGGTCGAGCCGCTCATCATTCGTGCCAAAACATAGCTCTTCCACACTTAAATGTGTCAATATACCAACCTATTTTAAATACTGCTTATTTGAAACTATCCTTCTCAGGTTCTGAGGTGATGCATCGCTTTGAGCTGGAACTGCAGAAGAAAGGGTACTTTAAAGGTTACAATCCTAAGATCAACCCTAGTCCAGCTAGCTCGTTTGGCTCAGCAGCGTTCAGGTTCGGCCACAGCCTCGTGCAGTCTTCCATGGTTAGATTCGATAGGTTCCACAGACCTATGAGTAACAGTGAGTATCAAATTTATAAATAAAAAAGTACTTCTGATTTTATCTTGTCGATAAAAATATCTATGTTATTTCTTATCTAAAGCTATCGTATGTTTTTGATCTGTAGGCAATAAACTGCTAAAATTGTTTTATCATTAACTTCCACGTCACGTTTGATGACATTACAAAATTCTAAATATTCTTTTCTAGATGTTTCTCTCCACGACGAACTAACTAACCCCTCGAACATCTGGTCTATCGGAGCAGTAGACCGTCTTCTCCTCGGTATGCTGAACCAGCCGATACAGAAACGCGATGAGTTCATCACGGGAGAACTCACCAACCATCTTTTCCAAACTCCTCATTTCGACTTTGGAATGGATCTCGCAGCTATTAACATTCAGAGGGGGAGAGACCATGGAGTTCCTCCGTATACATCATGGAGAGAACCTTGTGGGTTGTCTACTATTGAAGACTTTGAAGACCTGCTTAGGGTAATGCCAGCAAGGGCTGCGAGGAAGATGAAGGCACTGTACAGGTCGGTAAACAATTTTGGGAAGCCTTGAAGCAATCTGGTGAAAAATTCAGTTCAATTAGGATTTGATACATCACCTTAGTAAAATTTTTGATTTTAGACATGTGATCTTACAAATGGCTCCAAAAAGTTGTAATTGTCTACTAAGTATAATATTAATATAACATATAATTTCCCAGGCACGTAGACGACATTGATCTATTCACCGCGGGTATGGCAGAGAGACCAGTAGTTGGTGGTCTTGTGGGGCCAACGTTCGCCTGCATCATAGCACAGCAGTTCAGTAATCTCAGAAAAGGAGATCGATTTTGGTAAATTATAAAGTTCTTTAGAAAATTCAACAAAGGCATTTTTAGTTAAAATATTTATAAAATTTCTTTGCGTTTGCAGGTACGAAAATGGTGGCTTTGAATCATCATTTACCCCAGCTCAACTTCAACAAATTCGTAGGATCTCTTTCGCGCAAATTCTATGCCGTACATTAGACAGCATAGACACTGTACAGCCTTTCGTTTTTCTTTCAACTGACAACCCTGACAATGACAGGATATCCTGCCAGAACGGACTACTCAATAACTTTGACTTATCTCCCTGGGTCGAAATAGATGAGGATGTTGAAACTGATAACGATATAAGCAAATCTGAAGAGACTACTAAAAAACATCTTAGGAAAACCACAACAACATCAAAACCTTCCACTACTAAAAGGACTGCTCCAAAGGGTGCCTTAAAACCTAACAAAACTAAACCTGACACTAACTCCATAACTGTTAACAACATGACTATTGAAAATTTAACTAAAGAAAACTTGACGGACAAACTTAACTTAACTGAACTAAAGAAAGACAACGAAAGTGACGAACTTAACTTGACTTTGACTTTGACTAATGATATGACTACGACGCCTAAACCTAACATGACGACTAAACCCACCGTGACTAGACGTGACGTACAGATTGACGACAAACTTGACTTCAAAAACAAAAGCCGACGATTTGATGACTTTAAAATGGACTCTAGACGTAGACCTGCAACTAAATATGATGAATACGACTATGACGATGAAGAAGACACTCATCAAGTGCAATCGGTTGTTATAAACAACGTAGCGCATAAAAGACCACAATACAATAGACCCAACCGACGACCAGTGATAACTGTGACAGAGAACATTGACAAATATACTTACTTGATAAACTATGTGCCGAGACCCACTGAGTCTTGGCGACAATCGACTAGACGACACACTACAGGACGACCCATGACTGACAGAGACGTGGTCAAAGTGACTTACCAGACTTATGACGATACTTACAGACGACCTAATAAACCTTACTACTACAACAGACAAGACAGTCAACAAAACAACTACAGATATAATAGACCTACTCACACTACTAAGTATAATTATCCTTCATCCGCTAGATCTAATGACGAGACTGTGACCCCGAGAGACAAAGTGACTGACAAACCAGACGTTAAAACTGAAAGCACGACTGACTTATACAAACTAGTGACATTTGGTTACGTAGGGACTTACAAAGGTGAAGCTAGTACGACTGAGAAAAAGATGACTGACGAACATATTGCTGCTAAAGAGGAAACTGAGAAAGAAGTGACTGACAGACATAAAGCTGAGACTATAAGTAAAGATTTCTCGACGTTTGACGTTAATGACGACAAAAACATGAAACTATCGACTTTTTACGTTTATGAGACTGCAACAAAACCTTACTTACAAAGACCGACCCGACGAAACGATGAAGTCCCGATTCAGACAAATAAATACTATTATATAAGAAACGTTTTACATAAATACTATGACGATGACAAAAGCACTCCAAGACCTACCAACGAAGATGAAAAGAAAGAAATTAATCATAAAACTTACAACGTTGCTGACAATCAAAAAATAGAAGAAAGGTCAGCTATTGACAAGATGGCTTCATTGGACGAGGTCGAAGTAAAATCTAAGGCCCAGGAACGGCATAAAAACAGAATAAAGCCAATTTCAAGTCCGGCGAAAACTCCATCCGTGGCTTTCCAAGTCATACCGAGTGAGAACAGGTGAGTTTGATAGTTTTTTAAATCCCAAACATCGACTTAAAATATAGAAATAGGAAAGATGCCTAAATATCGAGGCTGTCACATTTACAAATTGTGTCAAAAATCAAATAAAATAAAAGTCATATGTTGTAAAATCCAAATTCTAATTGAGTATGGTACCTACCTATTATTTATCTGTTTGATATACTTAATTTATAGAACTGAGTCAGTACAGTACCCTAATTAATGCATTATTTGAATTTGAAGTGCATTGCATAGTTCTGTTCCACGCAATTAAGTTTAACTAAGTACTGATTAAACTTAAAAAAACAAGCCTGACCACCCAAGTTTTAGACATTTGCATGAGCGTTTAGCTTCATCATAGAGTGAAGTTTGTTCCTTCTGTTTGTTTTTATTGCCGGAATAATGCATTTTCCCACTTTAACAGATATATTACTCTTTAATGTAACTTCTATTACCCACAAATACTTACACATAGGTATGCTTAGCTAAACAATGTTGCTTACCATTTGAATGCCAATAAAAATTGCCCTCTATTTCAGTGCCTCGCATTGGGCAGTCTACGAAGAAAATTCTGACCTACCCGAGCAGCATAAAATGCCGGCAATCAAGACAGATCCTTATGCTCTAAAGGAAATACCAACACCCATCGCATTCAACAGTTTCAGAAGACGAAGACCGGGTATCGGAAGACCATGAGAACTGCTTCAGCTTTAGATAATCTTGCCTAACCCAAGTACTAGATGTAAAGACATTGTGTAGACATTGTTGTCTATCAACAGGAATAAGTCCTGTTATTGCGTGATATTTTAATAGGGAATTCTAAATTGAAGCTAGGTTTACATAAAAGATTATTAAGTTATAAGTGATACTACCACTTAATAAGGGATCGGACAAGACAAAACTAAATATACAACCTAACAAAAGAATTTTTGTTTAAAAGTATAAAATAAAAAGTGCTTCCGACTACTTGTTCGATTCCCTATTAAAAACAAACGAAATCGGATGAAGTATAGATAAGCTTTTAAAAATTAAAAGAAACTGCCGAATCGCGGAATGACTAATGATGACTATGACACTACGAAAAACATCATGACTGTGACAATAGACGGACTCAAGGACTCGGTAACAATAACATGTACCTACTTATATGGATACCTAACTACCTACCTATATCAATCTTATAAACTAAAACAAAAAGTGACACAATATGGACGTAACGATGACATTAAACATTTAACATGCTACGTTGACTAGCTTATCTCCAATATTATCAAACTAGTTTTAATGAATTTGCACTTTAAGCAACACCTGATTGTAATTAATATTAATCTTAAATAATTAAGGCTTGATACTGGAATTACTTACTTGACTGAAAGTTAACGACATGACTTGGACTAAAAAAAATACGGAACTATTGCTACTAAATACACTAGATTTAAGAAGATGCATCAGCATTCTGCATACTATGTTCACATAATTTCTAAACTAAACTAGTCTAAAACCTTTCAAGATAAGTCCATGACTAGCCAATACAAACCTGACTTAACTGACTGACTAAAATAAGCTGACAATTTTATCAAATGACTTGAAATGACAGACAAAACTCGACTTGAATTAGGGAAAAAACTGAGTTTGTACTAAAATCTATACATATAAGACCTGTGAGAATGTATCTGTGGTCAAGATGTTGATTTTGCTATATAAAAATCAGGACGCATTATGGCATGAATAAGACTTGACTACAAATGACTCTCAATTGACTATTACTGACTCAAAAATTAGGCACAAAAGGCGAATACCTTCTGTACTGCAATTAAAAGATTAGCTTATTACTATTAAATCCTATATGAGTTGACTGACTCAGTAAATAAATAAATGACTGACTGACTGACTAAATGAACGACAGACTGACTTGACCAAGTTACTGACTGATCCGACTGAACAATTGACTGACTGACTTGATTAAAACTGATCGACCAAAAACTATATAGTACATATAGCGTAAAAATGACCACTTAGATACCATGAATTGCCGAATGACTTCTACAGACGAAACAGGAGGTATTGACATAAGTTTTGATGTCGCAACAACTGAATGATTAAAAACTTAATAGTTACTGGAAACTAGATATAATTTTTAAATAATAGCACCAATTGAACAAAAAATATATTTTATTTATTAATACATTACTTATGCATATAAGTAGGTACATAAAATATGTTACGTTATGATAATAACATTGACTGACATTACTAACTAGATCTCGTCATTACAATTTAAATAAGTAGTAGTATCTATGACATTATGAAGACAGACTGACATAATCGCTAAATACGACTAAAGACTGTTTGAATTTAATTAAATGATTGCTTTTAATTATAATTTATGTAATAAGTAAATGAAAATTTTCAACAATCTTTATCATTATTCAAATCTTTATTTGTTAATATTGTCACAATAAGGGACATCATTATTTGCTATTAACATTGTATCTATTAAAACTATAGAAAACCTAATAATTTGAGAAATTTAATAAATAATTATTTAATTTACCAATTAATGCAATTTTATAATTTAATACCTAGTATCTATCCTATGATTACATAAATTGCATTAAAATTATTAATATTATTATTTACTGTGTGTATACACATGAACAGATCAAATGTCACATTCCCTTTTTTACATTTTCCATAAATATTTAATAAGAACAAAGTTCTAAATAAACTTTTATTTGAATTAACAAATTGAATTTCTTAATGAAATACTTTTCCAGGACATTAACAAATACTGATTGCGTAATGTATTTCATAGGTTTTAGTATACAAGTTTACAATGTGAATAAAATAATTTAACAATGATACAACAACTTGTTTTCATTTCAATCATTTTGATAAATAAGTATTCTTTGGCTTCACAATGGAATTTATTTTACCATGAATAGGTAAATGTATCAGAGTAATACCACAATATTATTTGCCTGACATCACACAACGGTTCTGAGATATATTATACTGATACAACTTACTGAGAACAATAACAAATCACAGGTACTCCTTGATCACAATTGATGTTAGGATATTAAGTACATTATTCCACCATGTTAATAATATTACTATATTTTGCTTAAGTAGGTACTTTCAATTGTATCCACAATGGACTGGTACTCCCTGGTTACAGAATAAGGTAAACATTACTGATTACATTTTACAACTAGGTTGTACATGCAGAAATTACAATTCACATAATTATACATTAATCCCTCTCTGGATAGAATTGCACTAGAGTCTTGGACAGCTCCTGAGCCAACTCTGCAGTGCTAGCACAGAGTACTCGGCGCGATAATAGGTCCAAGGGCCCGCCAGCAGGGTCTATGCAGACCCCTCCAGCCTCTCTTACCAGTATATCTCCTGCAGCAATATCCCAAGCATGGATTCCAAATTCAAAGTTGGCATCAGCCCCACCCATAGCCACCATCGCCATATTCAACGCAGCAGAGCCCAATGAACGCAAGCCATGACCATTGTTTACAACAAGTTTGTAATTTTCAAACACAATTCTACATCTCTCCTCATCACGACTTGTGCCAGCTTCAAAAGCAACTAAAGCATTGCGCAGCTCTGTCACTTGTGATACATGTATTTGCCTACCATTCAGAAATGCTCCCTGACCCTTTTTAGCAGTAAAGAGCTGGCCCAAGTTAGGATTGTATATAATACCAGCTACACATTCCTTGTTGATCGCGAGACCAACAGATATGCAACACAGAGGAAAACCGTGGACAAAGTTGAGTGTACCATCCACTGGATCTATGATCCAAGTAGGGGCGTCAGTTAGCTCGCACTTCGCTCCAGAAGAAACAGATTCCTCACCAATAAACTTGTGTGTAGGAAATTGTTTAGATAAACCGCCAATAAGCGTTTCTTCGACCTTTTTGTCTATTTCAGTGACAAGGTCAATATCACAGGACTTCTTCTCGAACACTTTACAGCCGTTTACATGTTCACTTATAAGGTTTCCGGCCGATTTAACCAGTGATAAAGCGACATCGAAAAATTCGTCTATTTGATCCATTTTGAATGAAAGATTACGTTGAGAATATCGATAGTGAATGCGAATGTAACAAGATAACAGCTTTCCAATAATTCTGACAGAAGTAATTAGAAAATAAGCTACATTTACCAATACAGCCGCACGTACTATAAAGTTCGACTTGACATTATCTTTTGACACAGTACGATATCTATTACGTAGGTAATGTCAAATTCTCGCTCAGACATTGACGTTTCTTTGACAGCTTTTATCGACTCATTCAAATTATTATGTATGGGTAAATAATCAATAATTATGCTGTTATTTAGATTATCTGACAACGAGGGTTATATCAGTTCCCCTTTTTGAGGTTCTCCTTAAATAACAAAGACGAAGAATAGTAAAGAGAAATATTCATGTCCGTAAGTCTCGCTGGACCTAAGATTTTCGGTATTTCCATGGTTTTATATACTATACAGCCCAGCATTGCAGCTATTTGTGGAGATTGTGGCAGCCTAAAAAACATCAGCCGTCACAGTAGTATTGTCACGGTAACTCTTCCCACGTGTCGTCACCGCATAAGATGCGATTTTATCACAACGTTAGCAAATCAATCAAGCAGAGCACCGCAAATTACCCAGTTATTCCCTATGTTCCACTCCACCTCTGGAAACCCGCTCTCATAGTGGGGCATCGACGCTGCGGAGATGTTAGCAGGCAACTTATCATACCGGAGTGACTGTTTCGTGAAGCTTCTTTTTTTTTGCCTTACACTATGAATTTTTCCTGTCGTGGGTGCGCTTACAAACATTCAATTTCACATACACATTACACCCAGACCCAAAACCACAATTTGTGGATTACACAAAGTGTTGTTCCATGCGGGAATCGAACCCGCTACTCGTTGTAAGGCAACCCTGCCACCGTGCCAACCGTGCAGTCTTTTTTTAAGGTATAAGTCGGCAAACGAGCAGACGGATTACCTGATGGTAAGCAATCAGCGGCGCCCATGGGCACCCGCAACACCAAATGAGTTACGAGTGCGTTGCCGGCCTTTTGGGGATAGGGTTTGCGAATAAAAGGATCGGGAAGGGATAGGGGAAGGGGAGGGATTGGGCTTCCGGTAACCTCACTCACACGGCGAAACACAACGCTGGGTTGTTTCACACCGGTATTCTGTAAGGACGTGGTATCACTCCGGTCGAGCCGACCCATTCGTGCCGAATACCTCATAAGTCATGCATTGAAATCTTCTGATTCTCCTATTGAATCCTACATTCTATAGGACTAGGTTATCGATATCAGGTATTGTGTCGCGGGTGTGTTTAAGTAATGTTATTTTAAACACACACCACATTTATGGACCTGGACCAACGGAACATTTCCGTGCGGTGGTTGAACCCCCACGACGCGTTGTGCAACTGCTACTACGATACTATGTATTACGAAATTTTATTTTAAGCATTTATTATTTGACTGCACGGTTGGTGCGGTGGCTGGGCAACTGGCTGCCGTGCAACGTGTCGCGGGTTCGAGTCCCGAACGGAACAACTGTTTGTGTGATCCACAAATTGTTGTTCCGGGTCTGGGTGTCATGTGTATGTGAAATTGTATGTTTGTGAACGCACCCACGACACAGGAGAAAATCCTAATGTGGGGCAACGTTTTATTTTAAAAAAAAGCATCTCATGGAAGCAATTGACACATTTTATGAGGTCAAAGCATTGTAAGATACTAGAGAAATATAGACACAGAGAGTACTCAAATAAGGGAGTAGGTGCTAGAGAAACGTGTTGCATTTCTATTTACGACTCTAGATCCTATATGATGGAGTGCCAAACGATCGTAAGTTTCACTTGATGGAAAGCGTTCGTTGTCGGCTTTTTGGGCTAAGGGATTTCCAGGACTTGAGGGTAGGAGAAGGGGGGAATATTGGGCATCTGGTAACCTTAGTAAGACAGAGAAACAACGCTACGGTACTTAATGCTGGTGTTCTGTGAGGCAGTGGTTATTTCACACCGGCAGGTGTTCTGTGAGGCCGTGGTATCAATCCAGTCAATCTAACCCATTCGTGCTGAAGCACGACTCTCTTACACTAACACTCACTTTAATCCCTTTAAGTAATAGAACAGCTGTGAATAAAATTTCATGAATGTCGTCGGATGTGGGTTGAAATAAAACAAATAATATAAAAATCATGAAAAATTGTTTAATTGGCATGCCAACTGATAACTTGTTACAACCTATGGCCAATTTTACAATTATATCAATATTGTTAATAATTAAATATAATATTTATGTAAAATAAGTTTATGCTTCAATGTTTACTTACATTTAAATTTAATATTATTATTCGGGAAACTATAATAATGAATAAAAAAGTGGTCATGAAGACTCTGGTAAATAATGATAAAAAAATGCTCGCACGATACAAGTTAGGCCTCTGTTACAAGAGACGATTCCAATCCATTTTACGTATTAAGTCGACAATAAACAAAACTTAAGGCCACAATTTATTACTACGAGTCTTACCTAAGTGTATAAGAGCAAGCCGTTCTAGCGCAAACCCTCGCCTGCAGACACAAATAATACCGTTTTGTATTTATGTAAACAAATTTACATGACACCACCTGCTCGGTGTATTTACATTCAACATGCTACGGGATGGTACGACACTTTATTGTAACACTTACACGAGGTGTGACGCGCCATCGCCCGCCCATCGCATGCGACCGACGCAGCTCAGAGCTTTGAGCAAGGCTGCTTGCACAAATACTTTTATTTAGCTTCATTCAAAATTATTATACTTTGTGCTCAATGATATTTCCAAAAACCTGAGCCGACTATGTATGGTTAAGTGAGTTTATGTCGAGCGCGGCGTCACACCCCATCACATGAAAAGCTCACATGTTTACTTATAACTATCATTAAAATTTGTATGGCAACTAAGCGCTCAGTGACTCGCACTGATATATTTACATTGTAGGTGTCGAGCACCGAGCTCGCCCGGCGGACTGCGCTCGGCGGTGACGCGGTAAATCTCGCAAACGGTACGTTGGGTAATGGAGGGGAGTCAGATATCGCAACAACAGTCTTGGTTACTCAGTCGCGTTTAAATGCAATCAGAATAAGTAATATTTTGCCACATTTTAATAATACTTTAAAAATTTCATTACAAATATCACCCAATGAGTAATTTAACAATCTACCCGTCCGACTTGGTCTGGGCAAAGTGAAAATCTCGATTGTTAGGAATGTATAGTTTAATACTGGGATGGGTATATCACCAATTGCTATTGTGTTGAGAGATTCGACTGTTTAAATGCAGTATTTGTTTAGTGTAAATTGAGCACCCGCGTGGTTGTTCTAGACGTAGGAACCTGTACGCCATAGGTTGCCCGCAGCTACCACTACGTCGTTTTGCATGCATTAGTAAAACTATTATATTGACATATAAATTAGCGTACATATTCATACACCTAAAACTGAAAAAATGTACTCAAAATATTTCATAATGATATTAAAATTTCACGTACATATATAATAATATTATACAATGAAAGAAAACGTATATTAGATACAAAAGCCTATGCGTTCTCAGCTGTTCGCTATATCCATACATTAACACGATTTACATTGACTTGTGGGCCGCACGCATACAATCGTAACTTTGTAACGCTAATGTACAGTCCTACATCACACTCCGGCTAACGTGAACACGGGTTTACAATATCATAATCCCTCACCCAAGATTTATATACAAAAATACGATTGTAGTACTACTAGAGCTACATGTAAGAGCAGCATATGAACAAATGTATTCTTCAATAATTAAGTACGTCGACAAAGATAGAACAGTTACAAAGAAATAACAATAAAATTTCAAAAATAACTACTTAGCCTAAAGTCAAATAGTCACTAAACTGGTGTTAATCACGTTTGACATCGTTCAATGTATAAAACAATATTAGCAATATGTGCGCCATATTGATAATATTCCTGTGACCCCTCTAGCTGAGTGGGTCTACCACAACACTCCAGCGCCGAGCTAGAACTGACTTGGTCGTTGGATTATTGCGGTACAGAAAACGCGTGCATTTGGACGACAGTTTAGAATACTTGAATAAAATAGTGAAAGAAGACATTACCTCACATGTGCTGTTACATGTAGTGTTACGTGTCGTAGCGTGACGTCACCGGACCTCGCTCGGCACTCCCGGCCGGCGCAGTACCGCGATGTGGGTCGCGGTACTGCGCCGCTCGGGGCGGCACTAGGTACTGCCGCGTCAGGTGACGGATGTTTGCAGTGGCGAGCGTTCCGTGACGTGACGAGACATGACGTGACGTGACGTAAGGAGAGGTGTGTGATTATTCGACGCTGTTGGTGGTGTCGTTGACGTCGTCGAAGGACTCGTCGCCCGAGCCGGCGCCCGGCGCCAGCGACGTGCGCTTCATGCGGGACGACGACGACGCGCCCGACAGACCGATGCCGCCGCCCTGCCGTCTGGGAAACGATAAACACACAATATAGTAACTCCAAACAAATTACAGTCGCAGTTAACCAAAACTTCATTCATGTTCCAATTACAATTAATATAACGCCAAACATTCTATTTCCATAAGTAACACACATCGAAACCGGACGACACAATGAACACAGTTATTCCAAGCAACAACCCACGCTATCTCGACCTAGACGCGCAGGCTCCCAATCACAGCCACCATTCAAAATACCAGTCGAAAAGGAATTTTGTTAAAATTCCTAAAAAGAAACAGCACAATAATGAATGAGGTTTTATGTTTGAGTGATGTTATCGTTCATTCGATGACTGTAAGAGTGAAGGAACACAAGCATGACGATCAGTGACTGTCAATAAAAGCGGTAGTTCCCATTGCACATGTATCGTCGAATGCTCGCTCGCCCGTGAGTCCCGGGGCGCGTGTAGACCAGTGTACCTGCCGCTAGTCGCTCGCCCGTAGTTCGCTTACTCACTCCCCCACTCGCTAGTCGTTTCGTCATCCGCAAACGACGGCCTAGCGGAAATATAATACAACACTTTCATCTCTTACTGTGGTGGACATGTTGGATGGTTTATATTTAATCAGGATGTACACAAAGATAGTTAGTTTACAAAGGAAGCCTGGGAGATACTTTTGTTCTCTAAATGGTAGGGGATAAACAGGATGATGTTTAGGATCAATTTCTAATGATCCATTTGGTATGTTGTCGTGGGGCCTCGGCAAGAGCTGGAACAGAGCTTCAGTGAGTATGCATGGCGCAGTCGGTAGTTACCTGAGCTTGTTCCGCAGGTTGTTGCACTCTCGTGTGAGGGTCTCGTGAGTCTCGAGCATGTCCTCGAGCTCGCGCTGCGCCTTGCGCTTGCCGACTTTCTCCCTCTGCACCTCCTCCTCCACCTCGTCCAGTTGTCGCTTCAGAGCCTTCACGCGGACGTTCATCTGGAATGCAATAAATTACCGCTATATTTTATCCTATTTTTATACTAGGTAGTTTCGTACGTATGGTGCCAAATATGGGTATGGGTGTGATGCGTGTGTGAAATTTTATGTTTCTCACTGCACCCACGACACAGGAGAAAATCGTAATGGAGCGCAACTTTAAATAACATAAGATACAGATATAGCCAGAAATTAACATATTTAAATATTCAACAGTTTATAACATCAAATCATTACTAAGAGATAAACAGCAATTACAAAATACTGTGACCTAATTGGGATCTTCAAGACGCGACTACCAAGCGATGACAATACGGTTTTTATTCCGTAGGATATCTTCCGGAAGGCCTTCTAACTTAGCTACTATGACAGCTTACCTTCTCGATCTGTTCCTTGTACTGGTCGGCATGCCTCCTCTCCTCGTCGAGTTGCAGCGCGAGTTCCTTCATCTTCTTGTCCAGCTTGCGCGACGCCTTCTGCTGCGCGAGGCGCTCGCGGGACTCCGCCTCCAACTGCTCCTCCAGGTTAGCCACCTTCAGCTCCAGGGAGGTGATCACGCCCTGGTAATACGAAAAATAGTCAATCACCATGTTTCATGTACTAGAAAGGATAATTTTGCAAGCAGAAAAAAGGTTACGATCGCTGACTTCTTAACCAATAGCTGATGAATGGCCCATTCAACTCTTTAATGGTGACCAGCTTAACTTCAAAACAAAGGCTTATTGTTGTTACCTAGGACCTCGAAAACAATAGTCCTCATCAGAATAATAGTGACGTTATCTACGGAGTCAAAAACTAAAGCCAGCATTCAGCTTTTCATTCCCCAAAAACACTTGGTAGTGGAATAACAATAACTTTTATCTAGTCACGTTACAAATACCAGACTTAAGACTCCACACTATTACAGCGAGTTTTCAAAACTTTTATAATAAAACAACATAATCTCCATGCGATTTCACTCACTGTTCGACTCCTACAGATCGTAACGTGATGTTTTATAGCCTAAAGCCTTCCTTGATAAATGATTTAATGAACACAAAAATAATTATTCAATTCGTAAAAAAAACAAAACCTGTAGTTTCAGAGATTTAGATTTAGTTAGCATGTTCAAACAGACAAACAAACTCCAAGTTTTATAATATTAAGTATAGATTCAATGGATCCTCATACTTGGCGTTAATCGACAACGTTTCTACAGGTCGCACGACTGATTTGAAATTCATTGGGTCTATACTACAGCAGTGGACGGAATTGGGCTGATGATGGTAAGACGGCTCATTGTCATACCTTGGTCTTTGTCCTGGCGGCAGTCTCTAGTTCTGCGAGTTTGGCCTTGAGTTCCTTGTTCTGTCGCTCCAGTACTAACTTGCCGCTCTCCAGCTTCTGCGTGGCTGACTTCTCCGTGCCAAGCTCCATTGTAAGCTGGTCGATTTGGTTCTATGGAAGTAAAAGAAACAATTAAAGTTAAGGCATTTAAAAAATTGCTAATATTTTACTTACAAAGATTTGGTACAAAATAAGTAAAATTTGACTGATTTTTGAATTGAAAATGTGAGAAAAGTTAGTAAAAATATGTATTTTGCTATAGTACCTGTGATTTCCGAAGCCTGTCGTTGAGAATTTCGTTGTTAGACTGTTCTTCATCCAGGTCCTCCTCGAGGGCTGCTATCCGAGCCTCCAGCCGCTTCTTCTCGTCAATAAGAAGTGTACTCTGAAAATTGACATTTTAATTTTAAAACATATCGTAATATTATTACACGTCGTTATCTTACAGTGTACATCGTATAGGAATCAAAAATGGCCTCCTTTTATCTAATTGTAAGAAGAAATGGATGTTTGTTACTTTTTATTTGATACAAGGATAATTATTAAACAAATCTACAAAAACATTGGTTCGAATATTGATTACAGTATGGTATTTAGGGCTAGATCTTTTTCGTGTCGTTTATCTTGTTTCTGCGGACAGAGCCTCTGACAGACGCTAATAAGCAACATTTTAAGTTGTAGGTATAAAATGCGATGTCGGTAATGCGCGTTACCTTGGCGGAGGAGTTGTTGAGTTCGTCGAGCAGGTCGTCCCGCTCGGCCTCGGCCTGTCGGCGCGCGCGGTCGGCGGCGGCGAGCTCCTCGGCGTGCGCGAGTGCCTCGGCCTCGAGCGCCTTCCCGCGTCGCTCGGCGTCGCGCGCGGCGGCGGCGGCCTCCTCGCGTCCGGCGCGCGCCTCCTCGGCCTCGCGCGCCGCCTCCTTCAGCTGCTGCTGCAACTTCTTCACCTGCTTCGCCGCGTCCTCCTTCACCTACACACACACACACACACTTTATTAGTAGGGGGACACAGTCCTCTTCTCGATAAGTAAATAATAACGCCGGCTTCGCTCGGGAGAAATGTGACTTATAATATTACACATCTTGCTTTGAGGAAGGAAAATCGTCAATACCACCAAACTAAAACCAAATATATGGTCTACAGTCTAAATATAGTTTTGATATATGCAATCCAAACAAAGTAAATTATTATGCAAAAATAAATGACAAATCAATATAATTTCATTTTCATTTCAATTTCATTTTGTTATTGCTATACCCCTTGACGAAATTATTAATAAAGATATGATTGAAACAATAACAAAAATAAATAAATCGTATAAACACATAATCCATAAAATTAATAAAAAGTTATCCCAACTTCAATTAATTTTAATAGACTAGCATATTACGCAGTACGTACCATATACGACAAAGTAGCGTAACAAATAAAATAGCAAGTACCTTGTTGGCGAGATGCAAGGCCTGCTCGGCGTCCTTGAGGTCGGCGTCCAGCTTCTTCCGCATGGCGAGCACGGCGGCGCGCTGCTTGCGCTCGTCGTCCAGCTCGGCCTCCAGGTCGCGCAACTGCTTCACTATGCCGCGACGCTTCTCCTCGCCCTGCTCCTCCTTGGCCTAGAAGAGGAAGGGGGGTATATGACTTAACCTCTTGTCTGCCGGTATATGACAAACAATTGAAAACATATTGTGTCTCGCGTGGATACTTGCTCCAGCGTAATACTGGTTACTAAACTACCAAACCTACATACTATCGAACAAACACCTCGACTCGATCCTCAAATACAATAATTTAATTTTTTTTATATATGATAGGACGGCAACAAAGAAGATTTACGAGGGCGTTGCCGACCTTTTTGGGAGATAAAGGTTTGGGATATTGGGGGAGAAGAAGGATATTATTAATATTCATCCAACTTCGACACATTGTTGCGCATTTAGACGCCCCGTAGTGGCATGAAAATTGATGAGTATCTCAGAAAACACGAATGCTTACTCATTTACTTTCTTCTACTGCTTTCAAATATATTTCTACAACAATTATGATAAAACAAAATACAAACCTGGAGGTCCCTTTCGAACTGCGCCCGCATGGCTTGCATGTTGACTTCGAGACGTAGTTTAGCGTCCTCGGTGATCTGAAGGTCGTCTTCAATCTCCTCATTCTGTGCCTTCAGTTCAGCTACTTGTGACTCCAGGGCTCGCTTGGCCTTCTCCAGCTCGTGAACGTTCTTGTCGGCCGTGCCTTGCGTGTTGGCTAGCTCATCTAGTTCTGATTGCAGGAGGCGCTTCGTGCGTTCTAGTTCTTCGACCTAGATAATAAAATATCGGCTAAGTTAAGTCCACAGGTTATGGAAATGGGTTGAAAAGAATTTATAAGTACTAATGTTAGATTATTCTCTTCAAGTATATTTTTTTCAGGGTACTGCTTCGTTTTTTGGCTTTAAACAGTTTTCGTTACAAAAGACTAGAAGAGTCAACAAACAACTATCACTAATACTAAATCTTTCAACTAAACTAACTAAATTCAAGAATTGAGTGACCATAGTTACCTTTTCGGCAGCGGTGTCCAGTTCCCTGGTGAGTGAGAGTACCCGCGTCTCCTTGTCCCGCGCGTCCCTCTCGGCCGCGTCACGCTCCGCCGCGTAGCGCTCCGCTATCGCACGCTCTTCCGATACCACCTACACAGAGCATAAAAAATCAAAATAACATTCACTCGTATGGGCAAATTTAAGATATCCTGTATTTAATTCCCTGTGCCCGTATCACTTTTGAAACATTAATATACGCGCAACTCTAAAGCGAGCAATAACATCGGCACAGAATAAGAATAAAACTCTGCAGCTGCACGGTTGGCTCGGTGACTAGGCAACCGACTGCCGCGCACCGTGTCGCGGGATTGATTCCAGCACGGAACAACTCTGTGGGATCCACAAATTGTTGTTCCGTGTCTCGAGTGTAATGTGTATGTGAGATTTTATGTTTGTGTAAACGCACTCTCGATACAGGACAAAATTCTAATGTGGGGCAACATTTTAAAAATATAAAAAAAAAACAGTCAAATTTAAATTTAGCTAAGAAAAGCTGTGTTTTCTTGTAAATCTTACCTTATCAAAGCTCTTCTGTTTCTTCTCGAGCTCCATGACCTTGGCCCGTTGTGCTTCCAGGTCAATATTGGTGTCTTCGAGTTCCGCCTGGATCTTCTTTTTACCTGGAATTTATTATATATTTTATATATAAGTTGCTCATTTGTCATATCTGTATAGAGATGCCGACAAATAATATGAAGCCTTATTTTTCAGTGGAGGACTTCAGTTTAAGGTCAGATGTTGTTGTAATAATATCAATCTTAAACTTTTTGGGATTCTAGGTGGCGCTAGAGATATTTTAAGGACGCATTATCACAGGCTAAGGCTAAGGGCTGTGATTGAGATAATGCTCAATCACAGCCCAATAAATTAAACTTTCTAAGATTTGGAGTAAGAACGACAATAACTAGCGTTGCAGGTGCACACAATGATTGTTTTCTACATTAGTGACGCTGAGACCCTATGAAGATATGAACAGAAGATACTAACTCTTGTCGAGCTTGTCGTTGGCCTGCTGTAGTTCGTCGATCTGCCGATGCAGAGCCTCGACATCCTTGCTGAGCTTCTTGCGTTGTTCCTCGAGCGCGGCCGCGTTCTCAGCCTCTTCTTCCGCCTTCTTCTTAGCGTCCGCCACTTGCTGCGTTAGCGCTGCAACCTGGATACATGCAAATAGAAATGTAAAAATTGGTACTGTAGTTAAATCTGATAATATTATGATTAAGTATGTCTGCCTGTCTTTTCTTCACGCCTAAACTACTGAACCGATTTCTGTGAAAATTTGGTACAGCGAGAAAGTACATAGGATAGTTTTTAAACCAAAAATCTGAAGGCAGTCACTATTCAACGCGAACGGAGTCGCGTGCAAAAGCTAGTATACTATAATCCAAGACATAATATTCAAAACTCATTTTTACAAGCTCTTCATGTTGTAACTAGTTCCGATATGTGCACGATGATTTTGAATATAAAAGGTATTTTATATACTTTGGGCCATATTAATTTATCGATGAATGTGAGATGGTGAAACTGACAAAGTAACTTGGATTACTTATAAGTATGTATATATCTCACTTGTTTCTCCAAGTTCTTCTTGGCCTCCTCTTCCTCCTCGAGCTGATCCCTGGCCTGTTCCAGTTGTTGCTCGATGTTGCGCAGTTTGGTTTGCAGAGACAATTTCTGTTTCGTCTCCTCTTCTAAAAGGGCCTGGAACAAACACAGAAAATTTATTACAACTAAACAGGTAATTTTGAAACATTAACATAGGTTATTAGGTAATAAGTGACTGAGTTAAATTCCTTTTTTTAGAGATAAAAAATGTATGCTAGTTCGATGTAAATTAGTAAGTATGTAGTGGTGCAGTACCTGTGCCTCAGCGAGCTGTGCGCCGAGCGTGGCGGAGTGTTTGTGCATTAGTAAGTATGTAGTGGTGCAGTACCTGTGCCTCAGCGAGCTGTGCGCCGAGCGTGGCGGAGTGTTTGTGCATTAGTAAGTATGTAGTGGTGCAGTACCTGTGCCTCAGCGAGCTGTGCGCCGAGCGTGGCGGAGTGTTTGTGCATTAGTAAGTATGTAGTGGTGCAGTACCTGTGCCTCAGCGAGCTGTGCGCCGAGCGTGGCGGAGTGTTTGTGCATTAGTAAGTATGTAGTGGTGCAGTACCTGTGCCTCAGCGAGCTGTGCGCCGAGTGTGGCGGAGTGTTTGTGCATTAGTAAGTATGTAGTGGTGCAGTACCTGTGCCTCAGCGAGCTGTGCGCCGAGCGTGGCGGAGTGTTTGTGCATTAGTAAGTATGTAGTGGTGCAGTACCTGTGCCTCAGCGAGCTGTGCGCCGAGCGTGGCGGAGTGTTTGTGCATTAGTAAGTATGTAGTGGTGCAGTACCTGTGCCTCAGCGAGCTGTGCGCCGAGCGTGGCGGAGTGTTTGTGCATTAGTAAGTATGTAGTGGTGCAGTACCTGTGCCTCAGCGAGCTGTGCGCCGAGCGTGGCGGAGTGTTTGTGCATTAGTAAGTATGTAGTGGTGCAGTACCTGTGCCTCAGCGAGCTGTGCGCCGAGCGTGGCGGAGTGTTTGTGCATTAGTAAGTATGTAGTGGTGCAGTACCTGTGCCTCAGCGAGCTGTGCGCCGAGCGTGGCGGAGTGTTTGTGCATTAGTAAGTATGTAGTGGTGCAGTACCTGTGCCTCAGCGAGCTGTGCGCCGAGTGTGGCGGAGTGTTTGTGCATTAGTAAGTATGTAGTGGTGCAGTACCTGTGCCTCAGCGAGCTGTGCGCCGAGCGTGGCGGAGTGTTTGTGCATTAGTAAGTATGTAGTGGTGCAGTACCTGTGCCTCAGCGAGCTGTGCGCCGAGCGTGGCGGAGTGTTTGTGCATTAGTAAGTATGTAGTGGTGCAGTACCTGTGCCTCAGCGAGCTGTGCGCCGAGCGTGGCGGAGTGTTTGTGCATTAGTAAGTATGTAGTGGTGCAGTACCTGTGCCTCAGCGAGCTGTGCGCCGAGCGTGGCGGAGTGTTTGTGCATTAGTAAGTATGTAGTGGTGCAGTACCTGTGCCTCAGCGAGCTGTGCGCCGAGCGTGGCGGAGTGTTTGTGCATTAGTAAGTATGTAGTGGTGCAGTACCTGTGCCTCAGCGAGCTGTGCGCCGAGCGTGGCGGAGTGTTTGTGCATTAGTAAGTATGTAGTGGTGCAGTACCTGTGCCTCAGCGAGCTGTGCGCCGAGCGTGGCGGAGTGTTTGTGCATTAGTAAGTATGTAGTGGTGCAGTACCTGTGCCTCAGCGAGCTGTGCGCCGAGTGTGGCGGAGTGTTTGTGCATTAGTAAGTATGTAGTGGTGCAGTACCTGTGCCTCAGCGAGCTGTGCGCCGAGCGTGGCGGAGTGTTTGTGCATTAGTAAGTATGTAGTGGTGCAGTACCTGTGCCTCAGCGAGCTGTGCGCCGAGCGTGGCGGAGTGTTTGTGCATTAGTAAGTATGTAGTGGTGCAGTACCTGTGCCTCAGCGAGCTGTGCGCCGAGCGTGGCGGAGTGTTTGTGCATTAGTAAGTATGTAGTGGTGCAGTACCTGTGCCTCAGCGAGCTGTGCGCCGAGCGTGGCGGAGTGTTTGTGCATTAGTAAGTATGTAGTGGTGCAGTACCTGTGCCTCAGCGAGCTGTGCGCCGAGCGTGGCGGAGTGTTTGTGCATTAGTAAGTATGTAGTGGTGCAGTACCTGTGCCTCAGCGAGCTGTGCGCCGAGCGTGGCGGAGTGTTTGTGCATTAGTAAGTATGTAGTGGTGCAGTACCTGTGCCTCAGCGAGCTGTGCGCCGAGCGTGGCGGAGTGTTTGTGCATTAGTAAGTATGTAGTGGTGCAGTACCTGTGCCTCAGCGAGCTGTGCGCCGAGCGTGGCGGAGTGTTTGTGCATTAGTAAGTATGTAGTGGTGCAGTACCTGTGCCTCAGCGAGCTGTGCGCCGAGCGTGGCGGAGTGTTTGTGCATTAGTAAGTATGTAGTGGTGCAGTACCTGTGCCTCAGCGAGCTGTGCGCCGAGTGTGGCGGAGTGTTTGTGCATTAGTAAGTATGTAGTGGTGCAGTACCTGTGCCTCAGCGAGCTGTGCGCCGAGCGTGGCGGAGTGTTTGTGCATTAGTAAGTATGTAGTGGTGCAGTACCTGTGCCTCAGCGAGCTGTGCGCCGAGTGTGGCGGAGTGTTTGTGCATTAGTAAGTATGTAGTGGTGCAGTACCTGTGCCTCAGCGAGCTGTGCGCCGAGTGTGGCGGAGTGTTTGTGCATTAGTAAGTATGTAGTGGTGCAGTACCTGTGCCTCAGCGAGCTGTGCGCCGAGCGTGGCGGAGTGTTTGTGCATTAGTAAGTATGTAGTGGTGCAGTACCTGTGCCTCAGCGAGCTGTGCGCCGAGTGTGGCGGAGTGTTTGTGCATTAGTAAGTATGTAGTGGTGCAGTACCTGTGCCTCAGCGAGCTGTGCGCCGAGCGTGGCGGAGTGTTTGTGCATTAGTAAGTATGTAGTGGTGCAGTACCTGTGCCTCAGCGAGCTGTGCGCCGAGCGTGGCGGAGTGTTTGTGCATTAGTAAGTATGTAGTGGTGCAGTACCTGTGCCTCAGCGAGCTGTGCGCCGAGCGTGGCGGAGTGTTTGTGCATTAGTAAGTATGTAGTGGTGCAGTACCTGTGCCTCAGCGAGCTGTGCGCCGAGCGTGGCGGAGTGTTTGTGCATTAGTAAGTATGTAGTGGTGCAGTACCTGTGCCTCAGCGAGCTGTGCGCCGAGCGTGGCGGAGTGTTTGTGCATTAGTAAGTATGTAGTGGTGCAGTACCTGTGCCTCAGCGAGCTGTGCGCCGAGCGTGGCGGAGTGTTTGTGCATTAGTAAGTATGTAGTGGTGCAGTACCTGTGCCTCAGCGAGCTGTGCGCCGAGCGTGGCGGAGTGTTTGTGCATTAGTAAGTATGTAGTGGTGCAGTACCTGTGCCTCAGCGAGCTGTGCGCCGAGCGTGGCGGAGTGTTTGTGCATTAGTAAGTATGTAGTGGTGCAGTACCTGTGCCTCAGCGAGCTGTGCGCCGAGCGTGGCGGAGTGTTTGTGCATTAGTAAGTATGTAGTGGTGCAGTACCTGTGCCTCAGCGAGCTGTGCGCCGAGTGTGGCGGAGTGTTTGTGCATTAGTAAGTATGTAGTGGTGCAGTACCTGTGCCTCAGCGAGCTGTGCGCCGAGCGTGGCGGAGTGTTTGTGCATTAGTAAGTATGTAGTGGTGCAGTACCTGTGCCTCAGCGAGCTGTGCGCCGAGTGTGGCGGAGTGTTTGTGCATTAGTAAGTATGTAGTGGTGCAGTACCTGTGCCTCAGCGAGCTGTGCGCCGAGTGTGGCGGAGTGTTTGTGCATTAGTAAGTATGTAGTGGTGCAGTACCTGTGCCTCAGCGAGCTGTGCGCCGAGCGTGGCGGAGTGTTTGTGCATTAGTAAGTATGTAGTGGTGCAGTACCTGTGCCTCAGCGAGCTGTGCGCCGAGTGTGGCGGAGTGTTTGTGCATTAGTAAGTATGTAGTGGTGCAGTACCTGTGCCTCAGCGAGCTGTGCGCCGAGTGTGGCGGAGTGTTTGTGCATTAGTAAGTATGTAGTGGTGCAGTACCTGTGCCTCAGCGAGCTGTGCGCCGAGTGTGGCGGAGTGTTTGTGCATTAGTAAGTATGTAGTGGTGCAGTACCTGTGCCTCAGCGAGCTGTGCGCCGAGTGTGGCGGAGTGTTTGTGCATTAGTAAGTATGTAGTGGTGCAGTACCTGTGCCTCAGCGAGCTGTGCGCCGAGCGTGGCGGAGTGTTTGTGCATTAGTAAGTATGTAGTGGTGCAGTACCTGTGCCTCAGCGAGCTGTGCGCCGAGTGTGGCGGAGTGTTTGTGCATTAGTAAGTATGTAGTGGTGCAGTACCTGTGCCTCAGCGAGCTGTGCGCCGAGTGTGGCGGAGTGTTTGTGCATTAGTAAGTATGTAGTGGTGCAGTACCTGTGCCTCAGCGAGCTGTGCGCCGAGTGTGGCGGAGTGTTTGTGCATTAGTAAGTATGTAGTGGTGCAGTACCTGTGCCTCAGCGAGCTGTGCGCCGAGCGTGGCGGAGTGTTTGTGCATTAGTAAGTATGTAGTGGTGCAGTACCTGTGCCTCAGCGAGCTGTGCGCCGAGCGTGGCGGAGTGTTTGTGCATTAGTAAGTATGTAGTGGTGCAGTACCTGTGCCTCAGCGAGCTGTGCGCCGAGTGTGGCGGAGTGTTTGTGCATTAGTAAGTATGTAGTGGTGCAGTACCTGTGCCTCAGCGAGCTGTGCGCCGAGTGTGGCGGAGTGTTTGTGCATTAGTAAGTATGTAGTGGTGCAGTACCTGTGCCTCAGCGAGCTGTGCGCCGAGTGTGGCGGAGTGTTTGTGCATTAGTAAGTATGTAGTGGTGCAGTACCTGTGCCTCAGCGAGCTGTGCGCCGAGTGTGGCGGAGTGTTTGTGCGCGGCGGACGCGTTGAGTTCGGCGGCCTCGAGCTGCGCCGCCGCCGTCTCCGCCTCGCTTTGCAGACGCACGCATTTCTCTTGCAGCTCCGACCTGTCAAAGGTTGTCGTTGTACTTCAAAATACTGGGACACCATATATTTATTCAAAAAAAGATCCTACTCAAAATAAATCACCACTACTTTCAAACTGTCTAGCTTGAAATGTATAAATACAAAATCCAAAATCATTTATATCAATTACATTCTTACAATCACTTTTCAACGTGTCAGTCTGGCGGTCAGTCCTCTTAGTGAAACTCCATGGGTGCTTTTTAAATCAGTACATAATAATATAGATTTGTAACACAATTTGATGTATTTAAAGTGTTATGAAAATGTTTAATCAATGATAATGAGTATAAGTACCGCACGCGCTCGACGTCCTGCAGCTTGGCGGCGAGTTCCTGTAGTTGCGCCTCTGCCTGCTTGCGGCGACGCTCGCCCTCGGCCCGCGCCGCGCTCGCGCTCTTCAGCTCCGTCGCCAGGTCCGCGTTCTCGGCTTCCAACACTTGCTTGGCTTTCTCCAGAGCTGTAGTCAAAGCAATACATTCAATGTCGAAACACATTTCTTCGAGGAATAATCAAAACTAGGACGTCATAATACCCTACTACCCTAACACCCAAGTTCCCTTCTATACATCGATCTAGATGACCTAATTCCGTTTATTTTTATTAAAGACACGCATAATTCTATGAAACCTACTTTTTATTTCCTACGAGTATATAATTAACTGCAATTTTGAAAGCGAGTATGTCGACGAACTTTCGCGCTATTGTATTCGTAGTGTATCGCTCGCGACATGAAGTATGGTTGGCAGTAGGCGCGGTACCGTTGCAGAGCAAGGAGGCGTCGGGCCTGCGGGCGGCGTCGGGGTCGCGACACATGTGTTGCCAGTAGTCGCGCGCCGAGCTGAAGGAGTTGCCCGGCTCGCACGGGAACGCGGCGTTCTCCACCTCGAAGTTATCATCCTTCGACAACCCAAACTTCACATTCTTCTGCCTCCTTCTCTCTCTCTCCTTCACGCACGCCATAAGTACATAATAATATAAACTAATATATAAATACTAAAATATTTCTCATATAATTTTATTGATTCGTGTAGATGATTGATCGAAAAGGTTTTGACGTTTTTATTTTTTTACGTTTGCATTTTTGGATTTGGAAGTTGTCATACTTTTTTGTTTGTCGTTTTGAGAGTGTCAGTGTCATTTTGTGGCTTTTATTTTAAAGAGGTTTTATTAATTATTTCTTAAAATATATTGTAGTTTTTCTCAACAATTTTTATTATATTATATATTTTAATATAAAATGTTGTTATTTACGTGATTGATATATTTCATTTATTAAAAACATTCTTAGCTCATAAGAAAATATTTTTTACCAACCTAATTCTATATCTTTAACACACACATCAAACCTTTTACGAAGAGCGCCAATGTAGCAAATAACTTAGCGTTATGGTGACTGCATGAAAACAATAATCTTTGTTTAAAATAAAACAAATTTAACAACGCGAATGTGACAAAGTGGAATCAAAATAGGCTGCCTTTTTGCTATAGCATTACCTGTTTGACAAATGTATTAATTAATGTACGAGTACGCCGCGAGTTATTTTTCGTCTACGGTATTAAAATGTTACTGCCTTTAGCCTTTAGACGGGTTCATTAAAATTTGTAGTTGGACGCATCCCTTATGATAACACTTAGAGAGTAAGAAATTCAGCCATTTAATAAAAAGCTAGTCATTTACGTCGTCATTTGAATAGCTAATTAGGATCGCTGGCTGCGACATGAATGGAATGAGGAAGCAGATATACTGACCGGCCTTGGCCTTCTTGGCCTGCTCGTGTTGCTCGTTGAGCAGCTGTAGTTCCTGGGAGTGCTTGTGCCTCTGGTCTGCGAGGCTGGCCTCGTGCGCCGCGGCCTCCTCCTCCAGGCTGCGCTTCAGCACCGCCACCTCCTGCTCGCGCTTCGTGCGCAGCTCTTGCTGCGCTGGAAACAACATACGTACAACATTATAGTCTGTCTAAGTTATAATAGAAAAATTATTTGATATTTTCAAGGCAATGGGTTTTCTGTATTTGTTAAACAGATCGTAAACATGGAATTGAACTAAAATCATTTTTTATTTGAGTGAAAAAGCAATAGCAACAACTTTATCTTTCTTTAGAGTTGAAGAGTTGTTTTGCTGACTAAGTATAACGCTTAGTTATACTACAGCTCTTGAACTCATTCGTTCTTAATTTTTGTGCGTCGAAAATAAGCATAAAATAAAAATGTGTTACCGGCAGTAGTATCGAGCGAGTCAAGCAATTCGCTCTTGAGCGCCTCGAGTTCCTCGTTGAGGTCCCTGCGCAGTTTCTCGGCCTTGGTCCTGGCGGCGCGCTCCGCGTCGAGGTCCTCGTGGGCGTCGGCGAGCGCGGACTCTGCCTCGCGCGCCGCCTTCTGCGCCGCCGCGCGCGCCGCGCTCTCCTCGTCCGCGCGGCTTATTGCGGACGCTAGCTCTTCCTCGCGCTTTGCTGGAACATCAAACATTGCATTGCACATCACATAAAAAACAAACAGACGAGTCGCTTCAATTTTCGTTAGCACGTACACCTAATTGAGACACGATGCATTTTTACTGTCTCACAAAATATAATGGCTATATGTTAAATTAGATAAATAAAAACAGTAATATTCTTTATGAATAGTAAAATTTCACAAAAAGGAAGATTAATAATATGTACTATGAGCAATGAACTATGTTAAATTTTTCTATTTCAACTATTAATGGGAACCAATGGCCATTCTAGAAATTTAACATACAATTTGAAATGTTTATACATACTGAGTACAATCTGCAACTCCTCGAGCTGTGCTTTCCTCTCGGCGAGTTGTTCCTTCACGTCCTGCAGCTCAGTCTCCAGCTTCCGCTTGGCACGGTCCGTCTCTTGACGCATTTGGTGATCCTGGTACATGATACAAAAAAAACATGTTGTAAAATATTATGTACATATCTGTAAGAATACAATGTAATGTTTTGTGAAAGTAACAAGTATTAAAATATATTAAACATACTTCTTCATTAATTGTACTAGACTAAATGCTCTCCTAACGCCCAACTTTGAAATCACTCAATCCTTACATCGCTAAAGCGTGAAAGGACGGCGAAAAAAATATTTACATTAACCGCATTTATTTAAATTTAGCTTTTGTTTCATATAATTATATACTATTTATTGTAATTGTATACAATACTAGTTGAGGTACCTATGAGTCCTGTTCAACTGACCTTAAGAAGTTTCTCCTCGAGCTCTGCAATGGCAGACTCCTGCTTGGTCTTCAGCTTGCTGAGGTGCTTCGCCTTCTCTTCCTCCTCAGCCAGCGCCTGGGATAAGTCGTTGGCACGCTCCTCTAAGATCTGGAAAATATAGAAGCAAAACATATACGTAATAGTTTAAGAAATAAAAAACTGCTAATAATCTTGATCAGAAATAGAAAAAGAAAAATTTTGTTTTGAAAGGTAGCAACAAATATAATATTTTTGAAAAGATAACATGAATATAATATGTATATTTAGGTACTTTAAATCGGTTTATCATTGCTGCTTATTACCACAATTAGGTACTAGTAGGCAAACTTTCCAAGAGAAACAATATTTTATCGCAATTATGAATATGTTATCAACTAATAAACTGATTCACTTAATCCGATCGTTACCACGGCTACGTTTAATTCCAAGATATTCAAATTGTTTTTTCTTTATTTTCTTCCTCATTCTTATTGATATTTGAGAAAAGTAACTCATAAAGGACATTCAGTCTTTGGCTACCTCATCAACTGCTTTTGAGTTTAAAATGTGGATTAAAAAGGTAATCGCTGTAGCTGGATTGGATGTCGAATTTTAGCCAGTAAATCTTTACTCTGTTCTAAATTAAGATATTATATAATAAAAATTACTATAAGTAAATTATTACCTTTTATGAATGGATATTTTGTTGATTGTGAATTTTAAACAGTATGTTATGTGTATTATAATTAAATAAATGGTATATACCTTCTTCTCTTTGACGAGTTTCTGGTTGGTATCGTCGCTGAGTGCCAGGTCCTCCTCGAGCTTCTTGATCTTAGAGTCGCACTGCACGCGCTCTAGCTGCAGTTTCTGTCTCGCTGCTTCCTCCTCCTCCAGCTGTTCCTCCAGGTCCTGGGTGAAGAGAAAGTATTTGTCAGTTGATGATGCTAAATTTTATATAATTGTTGTGAAAGCTCTGGATTACATAAATTGTATAACACAAATAATTCATACTTGAGGAAAATATGATGTTCGTTATAATCAACGAAAATATAATTAAATTAAACATTAAACATGATTAAAACTCTCGTATGTTTAACATGTTGTAACTAAATCAACAATTCAGAAGTACCTAAGTGAGGTTACTGTTGGCCCTAAACTTTTCTCATTCCCAATCCCCAAAAGGCCGATAGATAACGCTCTTGTAATTCCTCTTGAGTAGGATGCGGCAGTGATGCCGACCGTCAGGTTTTTCGTGAGATCAAATCAAAGGTAGTATAAGTAGGGCACCTGTATGTTGAGCTGCAGACGCTTCTTCTCCTGCTGCAGCGCGTTGCACCGTTCCTCCTCCTCCTCGATGCGTCCCTCCAGGTCGTGCAGCAGCTCCTCCAGCTCCTGCTTGCGCGCCGCCGCCCGCGCGCGGGACTCCTCCGCCTCCGCGCACAGCTCCAACTCAGCCTGCGTTACAACACAACAATGTCAAGTCAATTAGGTATAACTGTCACTGCTACATATAACAAAAACATCTTTCTAAGTAATTATGTTCATAACAATAGGGATGACTCAGTCAGCAGCAAATTATTTCTCCTAATATATCTACTTAAACATGTTAAAAACAATATTAATCCCATTAATCCATTTAAATGTTAAAAAGTCCTACAAAAACTTCATAAAAACATATAGTTTTGAAAATTATGATTGCCTAGTTGTTATCATCCTCATTAATAGTGATTACTTACCAAATTAAACAAATCGTATGTCTATTCTAGTAATGAAATGAATCTAAGACAAGAGCTTGATGGTACTGCTGAAGTGTAACTATTGAAGTTGTGTTTAAAATATTAGAAGGACTGTGTTTTATGTTTGTGTTAACTTCAATAGAGTGTGTTCTTTTAATCCTTCCATTGAAAGGTTTCTCATAAACCATAATAAACAATGACGGGGAAATAATACATTTCTTTTTCCGTTGACAAGTTTTTCAATTAAATCAATTAATTAATTGGTGGTCGATCAAAGTTCTTAACGGAAACTAATAAACATTTTCCAGGGCAACTTCTTGCAATTTTAGCTGAAGACAAAGTTCTAGAAAGTTAAAGAAACTGACCTGCAGCTGTTCAGCCAACTGTGTCTTCTCAGCATTGGCCTGCTGGTACTTCTGTTCGTACTCCTGGCATCTCTTCACCTGGGTATCTAATCTCTCACGGATCTGACGGAGCTCATCCTCCTTCTGCGTCAACTTCTCTTCTTGCTTTGTCACTTCCAGAAGGGGTTTGACCTGGAAATGGGGTTAGGTTGGGTGATGGGACACACTACATGCATACATAGAGGTTAATATTACAATATACGGGAATATTGGTAAATTATGCAGGATAGTCTTACACTGCATTCTGCACCTTAGGTATAAGCGTCAAGGTGCTATATTTGCACTTTGTCTTTGATACCAATAAGGTGCAGTATTACTAACAGTTAATATGTTGTTACTGTTTTACCAATAATCCATTATATGACTTAGTTTAGTGACATGTTGAATGAATGAATAAAAGAAAGAAGCGTAACATGTAAAGCTTGCGCGAAACTCAGTTGCGTCTGCGCAACAGCGTGATCATGGGAACAAAATTATGATGAGACTATTCAAAAATGTTTTATGAATGTGTTATGAATGTTAGGAATGGTAATGATTTTGTATGCACTAACGCATGTAGCGGGCAGGTTACGTGTATATTTTGATGTAAGAGTTAGAAATTATTAAAAAGGAGTATTTTACGTTGCAGCTCTTCTCTGCATCTTACTCGGTGCCCCCTTATATTGTCTGTAACTCTTTACACTTATATATCGTGCGGTACTCACAGTTTAGAGAATTACACAAAGGAATGAATAGATTATTCATTTGTTATGTATATACAATGGAATATTTCCAAAACATGTTGGATATGCAGTGACTAGATTGAAACATGTGTAGTAGAATTGAAGTGATTGATATCGCCATGCTGACGATGGTGTTTACTTACCTTGATGTACAGTCTCCACCACTGCCAGTTGCGCAGCTTGAGGTAGGCGGCGCAGTTCCTCTGAATAATGCGAATAGCGTTCAGCTGTTGCAGTCTCTTCTGGTAGTTCCTCCTAGCAAGGTAGCCTCGGCAGAACGCTTGGAAGTTGACTATCAAGTCAGTGATCTTGTAGTCCCGTTCCTCCTCAAGATGTGCCAGTACACCAGCCCGGAAGAAGATCTTGGACTGACCGACGCGGTACAAATTGTGATCTAACTCTAGAGCCTCGATCATCTGCTCACAAGCCTTCTTTCCATCCATGAAACCTTTCGGTATGATGTTAGGAGTCAGCAGCTCATAGCGCTGTCTGAACTCCTGGAAGGGAATACGGTTGGGGAAACCTTGTCTGCAGATCCTGATACCTTCAAGCACACCATTGCAACGTAACTGGTCGAGAACTAGAGGCGCTTCGATCTTTCCAGCCTTCTTCTCGTGGTTGGGAATGATACACCTTACGAAGTTCGGGTTAGTGTTCCTTAGCGTCGCCATCAGTTTGGTCAGCTGTTCCTTGTACAATTGAGAGACTGTTCTGAACATGCCCTTGCGGGTCCTCGCACCAAACTGCGTGTCTGTCATCGCCTGCTGCGCCATGCCTACGATCTCTGCGTCCTTCCAGATGTGGCACACGAATGGATCCTGGGACGATTGGAGAAGGGATACCACGTTCTCGTTCAGGGGATCCATATTCTTCATCAACCATTTCTCAGCAGAATAGTCTACTTTGCCAGCGTAGTGAATAATCGCAAAGTCGGCAACTCCACGGAAGTCAGTCTTCATGAACTTGGGATGGACGGAGTGAGCTGACACCAGCTTCTCAACGAAAGTCTTATCAGTTGCCTTGGGGAACCAGCACTCCTCGTCCAACAAAGCCATTATACCCATAGGTTTGTCGATCAAATCGATGGTCGGTTGCAAATCAAGACCGAAATCGATGAACTTCCACTCAATACCTTCGCGCTGGTACTCTTCCTGTTCTAAGATGAACATAGTGTGGTTGAAGAGTTGCTGGAGCTTCTCGTTAGTGTAGTTGATGCAGAGCTGTTCAAAGGAATTGAGCTCGAAGATTTCAAAACCAGCCATATCGAGAATGCCGATAAAGGAAGCTCCTTGTCTCTTGGTCCTGTCGAGCGAGCGGTTGATTCGGTTCACGAGCCATCTGAACAAACGCTCGTAGCAAGCCTTGCCGATAGCTTCCACTGAGAACTCCACCTGCTCCTTGGTCTGAGCTTTCGTGACGAAATCGCGACCCACTTTGATTCTAGGTTTGAGGAACGCCTTAGTCATTTCTGTGACGGACAGACCTGGAACAAAAAACAATAAATGAGAAGAACTTCATTGATAACTCTCCATAAAAGTCAAAAATAACAGGAAGACCATTCCATACCAAGTAAATGCGCGATCTTCTGCGCGACTGTGTTGTCAGGCAACGTGGCCTGGTCGGAGTTCCTCTCCTGCTTGAACTGCATGGACCCGAACAGAAGGGTTGCGGAGACTATCCTGAATATCGAGTTGAAGTCCTCGTTGTTCATGCCCATGATGTTCATGGACTTGATAGTGGCCTGGAACTCGGCTGCGTCATCGATACCGGGGACGGGTAGAGCAGCATTGGATAAGAATGGATAACTTTTGGGGTCCTCTAGGATGTACTCGGCTCTTTGCTGCGTGGTGGCGCCGGCTAGGAGCTGGTAGAATATGTGGAATGTCCTTTCATCTTTCGCTTGTCTGATTGCTCTTGACTTTTCGAGTAAGTACGTTTCGATGTTCGCGCCTGCTATGAAACCTGACGCGTCGAAGTTTATTCTAATGAATTTACCCTGCAAACAGAAACATAGCGTGTTAACACTTATTCAATAGTTTTTTATGCATTTTTGATGATGTCATTTTACTTACAAATCTAGAAGAATTGTCGTTTTTAACAGTCTTGGCGTTACCGAAGGCTTCTAATATGGGGTTAGCTTGTAGCAGCTGTTGTTCCAGTTCACCCTATAGAAAAGAAAATTCGTTAATAATTTCTAATGTACACAACAAATATATCTTTTCAGATGAAAAAAAAACAGTTTATGAAAAAGCTTTGATTAGTAATGCTCTAAATTACGATGAATAAGCTGGTAGAAAGTAATGATTTATTTTAAGATAATATCAAAATCACAATATAAGATCAGGTCTAGGTAACTTGATGCAATTCGTGATACATTGAAAATTGAGTTTTATCGACTTGCATTGAGTTCCAACAAAATATTGGCAAAAATTGAAAACAATGTAAATAACGACCATTTTTGTATGACAGCATTATAGTAACGTTGAAAATGAATGGTTAGCGTTCCATTACCTCGAATGTTGGTCCGTTTGTCTATGAGGGGATTAGCAGCGTGAAATGAAAGGTTACAGGTTAATGTTACAGGGTTAGTATACATACAATACAATAGCAACATCACATCACAATACATTCACTAATAACATACCTCTTTCTATTATTTAGTTGCATTACATGCTACAGGACGCGTTGCGAAACAGGTTTGTTGCACTAACATAACATTATCATATTAAAAAGTTACTATTTAGAATGTCCTTGAAACTTATATAAGTATTTTTTAGCAAACACAAGGTCCAAAGATCCCGTAACTAAAATAACCAACACTCACGACGTACGGAAATTAGGCACAAAGTACCTAACATAAATGTTCGTCCCGCAACATGTTATACAACGTGTTCTCTTTACGAATGTTCTACAGATCTACTACAATATTTATTTATGACTCATAAAGAGGTATATTTTACGACTGACGTCGAAAATTGACCATTGTTATGCATTTTTAATGTTAAATTCATACACTCTGGTTAGCACATGACGCAAAGCTTTTTACTGGTTAGGGTGTGGGAGTTTAACTATTCTAAAGTTAATGAAAATATAATGTACATGCTAGAGAATAATAGAAATGTTTGTATGATTGAACAAAAAGCTATAAAAAAAATAGGTAATTAATTATAAAGAATAATAAACTATTGAACAAAATGTTAAAGGAGTTTTCATTATAAGTTTATATCTGAATCAGATCATAAATTAAACAAGGATATTATAGATAAATGGAATGGCCATATTAAGTAGGTACATAAAATGTTACCTATCAAATTGCGGAAAGTACAATAATGTTTTATCTCAAATAGTAATAACATAACAATATGCAATTATGGTTCTTATATTCTTATTTTGTAAATATAATACTTAAAAATAAATACATAAATAAAATTGTAAATAACTGTAGGATAAACATGCAAGCATCATTCCTCAAACGCAGGAGTCAGGCGTAGCATTAATTAAATAAAAAGATAGAATTCACCATGTAAGAAGAAATTGATGATGATAACCTTTGGCACAATGCTCTTGCCATGCCAAATCCAACCATAACCCCTTGTAAAAGCACCCGTAATCCAATCCAAGTAAATTGTGGTAAATTATTCTCTGGTGTTTTATTTCATTCAATATCAATTTCATGTTTTGACATAGAATATAATTACATTAGATTTTCTATGATTCAATGAGATTTTTTGTAATCGATAGCTAGGCCATATTTACTTGTTTAGAATATTTATTATGGAATATCTAAGCACAGTGTTACGCGACCTCTTTTTTCTGTGCCTTTTTTTAATAAACGAAAAGTTCCCTTGTCTGATACTGGCAGCACAGAAAAATACATTCGGCAAAATTTTGAAAAAATAACAGCTTCATTCATCAAAATTTCGGACTTTATTAAAATTTGATTTTTAAACGGTGGATATAGAGAATAATGTACCACTTTCAAAATATATTTAAACCGGCAGGCGATTAGTTGGTACCCTGTTTTTTTTTTATAATAATTCCTTGACTTACTATAATCAACTGTGGCGACGGTCCCTGTTGTGGTCGTATCGATATCCAGGATCACGGAGAAGAGGGAAAATAAAAAAAAAATATACATCAGTGCTATGTAGTACGAGTAGTTTTAGAAATAAACAGATTCTTAATTATCTACACACATTATGTAGCTGGAAAAATAACTCTCCAAGTTCAAAAATCGAACGTCCCTAAAGGATGAATTCGGTTGCGTTTTGTTTTAAAAAAATATTTTTTATTTCCAGCCACATAAAAACTATTTTGTGCTGTACATAACATATGCCACCTCCAACATATTATGCAGTGAAGTGGTATCCAAGGTGTAGCATATAGTGAACCACAAAAGTTGCGCTCTGTCTACATACAAAGTCCAAGATCTAGCTGTGAAACTTTTGCGATATATTGCAACTATAGAAATAATTATATTAGAACAACAATTAGCATGAATTAGCAGAATAATTTATAAATACAAGAACTAGCAAAAACACTTAACAGTGGCCTAGATAAACAGTATTAGTAAGTAGTTTTTTATTATTACACTGAAGAGAAAGTACCTATAAAATTATACGAATTCGTAACAATTTGCTAGCTGATAACAAATTGTATTAATTCGCTCACCCGAACGCGATAGTCGAACCAGTACACATGTGAGCGCTTTACAACAATGCAATTAACAATTAATTAATAGATAATTAAAAACGTATAATAAAACTAGGTAGCGTCTTTCTTTTACCTTTTACCTGGATAAAAGAAATACCTATAATGGAATTACTAATAATTGAACACTAATAACGAGGATAATTAAATATATAGGATAATTAAATTAATCAAGAATGCAAAGATAAATTCACATTGAACAATATTTTTTTAGTAAAAAAAGACGAGATATCATTTAGTATATTTTTTACTGCTTTGAAATTCCTCGACAGTATACACAAAATTAATAGTTCTGTTCGCATCGACTGTACTTAAGTCTGAAATGAGTACAATATCCTCTAATTAACATTTCAAATGACAATCAAAACGCTCCCCCTAACATGAAACATCCCTAATAAAATATAAAATGCAGTACCTACCAATTCAAATGAATCTATTATTTAACCGCATATTAACTCCACGCAAGTGTCTCGCTAGGGAGTTAGAGTTTACGTAAACCGTAGTTAAGTTACTGCATTAGTTAAATAAACATTGTCATTTTGCTCGTTACGTCTAGAAAGGTAGTTAGACTAGAATAACTAGCTATGTGAAGACTTCGTTTTGTTTAAATAGGTCTACGTAAATCACAATGAATATAGGTACTCGTAGAATTTGAATAATTATTTTAGTATGCCATAAGGAATACCTAGTATTTTGTCTGTGCTATTATTGACTTATTTATCATCGTAATACAACAATTGTACGGTATCCAATACGTTATTCCAAATACTCAGCTAAATATCCTTTTGAAATTAAAATAACGCCTTATGTGTTTAAATATAATCAACTATTATTTTATGAAACAATACCACGAAAGTGAAAGATATAATATGCGGTCATATATTTCAAATATAGTTCAGTTCACTTTTATGTATTTTTGCAAACAATGTATAATCTAACATTTCCAAGCAATACAAATAGAATAGATTTTATATCACATTGTAAACTTATTTTCAGCTTGATACTTTCTTCTGTATAAATTCAACACAATATCTTTTAGATATGGCATAAACTATCACATCTAAAACGATAGGTTCCTAAAATTACTTAATAACTTCTGAAGTTAAGGTTCAAATATTCGAGAAAATAACAAAAGAAGAAATTGCCTATTTAATATAACCTACCTACATCACATATTCTCATAATATATATTGTCTAAGTTCACATGTATGTACTGGGTTTTTTTGTATAAGACTACTGGTAACAGTGCTTACCGCTCCAGATCCCTTGGGTTTTGATGCAGCGACGTACGCGAGGTATTGTATCACCTTCTTCGTATTCTCTGTCTTACCAGCGCCTGATTCTCCTGTGCAAAGGATTGACTGGTCCTCTCGATCTGGAAGGTAAATGGTACTTGTATTAGTAGAATATACCTTCAAATCAAGATGGAAGGATCCCACGTGATATCTAACAATCGTTTCATCAAAATAATAAACTTATATTATTATGGTCCTTTTTGGTTTTCGGGTGATAAAGGTTTATTATACCTTACTACCTTTAATGAATACAAACCTTGCTCAACTAATGCTAATAAACTGTTGAATGGATCTAAATGAATTTTAACACAGATATAGATTAGAGTCTGATAATACAATAATACATAGTAGCCTATGTATTGTTTTTTTCACATAGGTACTGGGGGCGAAAAGTAATATTTATAAAGATTAAATTGATTTTTTTATACTTTCATACTAGGTATTTATTTACATTCCACATAATATGTAAAACAGTCGCAGAACGGGTAACAAATAAAAGTAAAGTCTGTCTGTCCCCTTGAAAATTGTATACATTTTTCAGGCTGCTTTAATTTGTAAAACATGATGAGGGTAGCCGGGTGGTCGAGCGAGGCGCGGTGGTTTTCATTATAATGAATAACTAGTAGCACGGTTTTCTGCTCTTGTAGGGGAAATGCTAGGTGCATAGTAAATAAAAGTATGAAAAAAATATTATTTACATGAATTTACTTTGTAAGTGAAAAATGCGTGAAGATTTTGTTGACGTATTTGATACGGAGCTAGAACAAACTAAACCAGTTATTTCTGCATTTTTATATATAATTTACTTATGTAAGTACTAGACGGAAAAACTTTTAATATTTTTAGTTAGTATTGCACTAAATTAGAAAATTTGTAAAACTAATATTTTGGACTTAAAACATCCTATGTAGCATACAAGCAAATGATTTTAAATATTTGCCTGATCCATCCGTCAAAATCAATAATTCAGGAAACCGTGTAATTTTTCCTGTTTACACAAATAAATATACAATTGCACAGACAAAGTACGATCATTGTTGGTTGTTGCACAAATAATTTTCCTTCCCGCAACAATACTTCCTCTACTCATAGTTATAGGGGATTTGCATTGTATTCTGTGGTTCAATTCTGTCGCCATATCATTGTCAGTTACGAAACGTTTTCTGTAGACGTGGGCGTTGCCCCTTACCTGTGCTAGGATCATTAGTGGTGCCGTTGTACAGATGGGATATTATAGGCCAGTGGTGGGCAAATTTATAACAAAGGTCTGACAATTTTGTTGGCATTTATGCTTAAAACTAATTACGTAAATACTAAGATATCGTTTAAATGGTTTCTGAATTTCGTTCACTTTACATCAGCCCTAGAAATGTTTTATTTTTTATCAGCATCAAGTGACGGTAAGTTATCTACGCTGTCCACGAACACCTGCAATACCAGAGAGCAATCACAGGCGCGTTGCCGACATTTTATGAAAGAGTCGTTTCTTGAAGGTTCGAAGGTCGTATCGGTTCGAAAATACCGCTGGCGACAGTTGTTGACTGGCATCTATACGTGTTAATATTTTATAACAAAGTTAACTTTAAGATAGAAGTAAAGACAACATAAATGCAGTGGTGATTACTAGACGTTATCAAAATCCTAAAGGAACAGCTAGTTGAAATGTGTTTCTTCATAAGGTTTTGTTCGTAATTTTAAAGTAGATAATATAATACACAAGAATAATACAATTTCGAGACAGTATAACTAGTCTGCGATAAGTTACTAGGTCGCTCTAATTGTTTAGTAATAGGTTTCGATATCAAATAAATTACGACGCAGCTGTGAGGGGACAAAATGAGTAATAAGCCTTTTCCATATTTGTCTATTGTCAGCTAAATTAGCCAACACTTTATAAAGCAATACTGCCTAGTAAGACATTTTGCAGGGAGCAGGTTTTCGTGTTGAAAATGATATTAAATTTAAGGTGCTTTGCAATTAATTTTATACTAAAACTGGCCAATTAAATAGAATATCGTGAACAATTTTGTTAGAAGACATATTTACGTAGTCAAAAAAACGCTAAAGAACTTATAAAATCCTTTTCTCGGAGAAGTCCCCAAGGTAACGGCCAGACGCAAAAGCAACAGAGTGCATTACCCCAAAGGACCTATTTAGATCTGTACGACTGGATACTTTTAAAGAAAAACTTTTCTTTGAGTATTTCTAATATATTAAAGCAACCTTCTGTGAAGTATGTCGATACCGCGCCCTCACTAGAGTTCACAGATAACGACCGTTCGTCTAATTGTTCTGTAATGGCGCCGATACGGAATGACTTATGGCACAACTGTCGCATACCACTTTATTTCGTATACAAGGCGAGAGGTTATTTATTGCTATAACCTGTATTTTTTCCATTACGGATAACTGTTGGAAATTCGATGAATATTTTTTAAATGTATAAACATTCGACGAAAATACGGTTTTATGTAAAACTAATTATGATCTAGGTATAATCTAACTAGTACACGATTATCCATTCGAAGTCTAATTTGGGTTCTATTGAAAACAAGTCTATTAAATGACTGTTCAAACTTTATTGAATCAAGTCTTTGTTCAGAAATCGACTTAGGAACGGCAGATACTTGTTCTTTGTTGAAACTTATTCATAAATTCAAAACATCAGTGCATACTTGTTATAACCTACTAGGGCCGATGCCCATTGTTGCGGAGTCCAAGCAATGTAGGTACTGCAGCCCCGGCTAGAAACAGGAGAAGGAGAAGGAACGGGGTGGTTTTTAGTCATTAAGAGTCTGACACTCTAACTCGCCCCACTCAGGGATAGAAAGGTCCTTTGATAATTTCCCCCTCAATAAAAAACCTTGTTATTATCTAAAAGCACTTCCATTTACCTTGTAACATGGAACGGTACGCGGTGTCTGTGATTGCGAACACATGGGGAGGTACTTCATGCCGCTTTATCCCCTTATACCTCTCCATAATCTTCTCCGTGTAGATGGGCAACTTCTTGTAGGGGTTGACCACTACGCAGAAGAGACCGGAGTATGTCTGTGAAAGAAAAAAATGGGGATAAGTATGCGATTTATAATAGATTTTTTTTAAATTAAAAGTGTTAGGTTGCTCTATCAAGTAATTAAGAACAAGGAACATTGTAAAATAATTCGAATAAATCTTAATTGTCATCATTGGCATTTGTTACCGAAGACAGGTAATGTAGTCATTGAAGTAACGGTCAAATAACACGCAATATTAAGATTAGAAAGAGAAAAGAAATGTACCAGAGCGGAAAATGGTGATAATCGAGATTTGCAAAATCTAGACTTCAAAAACGAGGAACAAAAAGAAAGAAATTTGCAAAATTTACAAAGGCAATGCAAAATGTGCACTTTGCTTAAACAAAGAATACAATAAGATTTACTCTTTTATAATAGTTTTACTAAAATTAGTTGGGTGACAATCAAATTTGATATGGCTATTTACAAAGATCGTAAACTTAATTTAATATGTTCAATGAGATACAAGTATTTAACCACATTACTGGGTTCATAAGAAGACGAACTTTCTAGCAAATCAAATTATGTAATGATAAACTGAGATGATCTCATTTTTTAGCCTTGCGATTAAGAAAAAGGTAAAGAATAGTAAAGACATGTCTGCATAGGAAGTAAAATAAAACCGTGACACAAATAAGACTTTTTTTGAAAGATCTACGTTGCAATACTAAGTAATGCTAGTTTAGCGAAAACACAAATACCTCTTTCCCACATAAACATGGAACTTCAACGCTAACAAAGACATATCAATGTCATAACATAACAGGAAAAAAAACAAAACGAAAACGAAAGTATCCGCATCCGTAGAAATGGCGGTAAGAACAAGAAGTGCGCAAGAGTGAATCACGCGCAACAATCGCGAACATCCGCGCATCTGCGCCCGCGCATAAACTATTGTGTTGTTTCTTATATGAAAATTGGCTTTTGTTATGTGCGACTTTTTGTGTTGTCTTGTGTTACATGGAATGTTATGCGTTATGTATACCCGTGTTATTTATAGTTCCTCTTAAGCTTTTTGTAAGGGAAGATGCTGTACTTGAGACAACGTTGCCGGTCGGTATGCAGATTTGTACCTCGTAAATGTTGCAGTGCGTGTAAATCTAGGGACCATTTAAATTTGTACAAGAAAAGTAATGTGCAATATATGGACTTTATACTTTTTCTATTTACCTGAAAAAGGATATTGCAAATCATACGTAGAATTGTCCTATCTGAACACATATTGTACCACATTTTAATCTACAAACACTTGAAATGCCGGTCGACATAAAGCTCTATGGAGCGCCCAGATAAAATTCAATCAAACTTGCTCAGCCTACTATCTGTGCAAATGATTTGAACACTAAAACACTAAGTTATTCAGGTCAAGTAGATAGTACATGTATATCTTAGAGCAAACAAGTAATTAGTAGGAATAATTAACTAGATGCTAATTGGTAGGATCGTAATATTGACGGAATTGATATACTGAGATTGATTTCTTAAATTATTAGGGTTTTGTTTACGTATTGAGAACGATAACGAAGTAGGTGTAGCCGAGATGGGTTTAAAATTGTTATTAGTATATTGCTTTCAAATAAATTTGACGATTATTCACTTTTCAGTGATATTGTTAAGTGTTTAGAAAGTCAGTGTAAATTTATTTGAGGACAAACTTGAGTAAAACTGTCTGATTCACAACATGATATCATGGTAGTATAGTCATAAAACCAATGCTACGTATAATCGCTTCGTTTAAAGTTTTGTGGATTCGAAATGGTCACACTACCTATCCAGGTAACTTAGAAAAAAAGCAGCCAGTTGATATTTTTCCTATAAAAAATAAAGTAACATGTTTTGCTAATGCAACAAGCACCGGCAACATCAAAGCTTATCCGAGAGATAAGTTATCATACTGATAAACATAATTATATCAATCAATTTACGACGTGACCCGTGTCCCGGGCTCCGGGGGTACTGCGTAGGAACATAATCGATGTTTGTGTTAACACCTGACCTGGCTGGTGATCTATGGATTGATTAGCTTACTGCTAAATGTAACCTGTTGCTGAATATAATCAGAAGTGCTGATCTGATCACCTTATTGCTCGAGGTGGTAGTAAAAGCGGCTACCGAGCGGCTGGTCAAGGTAGTATTTAACTCTTTGTTGGAATAGGCACTAGTATTATCTAAAATGGCGAGAAGTTGAAAGGAAGATACTTGGTACTCTCTCTTGAGACTCTTCGCTCGATCTTAGCAATCCTTTGGACCCTCGGTTTGGATTCCATCTGCTTGATTCTTGGCAATTTGATCTTTAAGAATATGGGATAAACAAGTAACTAGAAAAGAGTATTCCTATTCCTTGAGCGTTGGCATATGACCGGCGTCTTGCAATGTTATGATTCTATAAAATATGAGACCATTTCCAAGTAATTGTCGCGGTTGGTGTCCGAGTTCTATGAAAGTGTAGTATACGTTTACAACTCTGCGTGCGCTGAATCCGAATGGGTTTCTTGCAAATGCCAATGAAGGGATCAAAGATCACGTTTTGACTAGATAATAAATGGCACATGAGGGCAATAGCTGTCTAGACAAATTTAGTTAAAATATTATCGATATTCAAGACCACTCCATATTATATTACTTTTGTGGAAAATCTTCAAATAGAATACATATTACAAATTCAAATATACTTCTAATCGTAGAGTTTACACAAATAACTCTGACGAACAAAAACCTTCCAATGTTTAATTTAAACTCGATAGTAGTCGTCAGATACCTAGAGCAATGTTAATTAAACTAACATTAATACAAAACGATAATACACTTCGAATGGAAAAGATAAATCCAATTAAATATTGTTTAGCTAACGACTTCTGTTACGCTGTTTAATGTTTATTTTGATAACGGTTGTTTAGGCTTACATTTTAAACTTTGAGATTTAAAAGCAATATTTAATTATACTAAAATAATATAATATTTAAACACAACTGAAATAAGGCGAAGAAAAACATCGTGAGGAAACCTGAACTTAATTTCTAATTTAAAATCACCAATCCAACTTGAGCAAGCGTGGCGGTAAATGCTCAAACCCTTTCCGTATGAGAAAAGCCTTTGGTCAGCAGTGGTCATTCATAAGCTGATGATGTGATACTAAAATAATTAATTACCAAGTTAGGATGCAACCTACAGAGATTCCGTGCGACTTTTATCCGGTCATCTATCCACTTGTGAGTGATACGGTTGCCGGAATTCGAAGTACTCGACAATTCCTTTTATTAGTTGATTAATAAAGACATATCGTAACACCATGCCTATTTTACCTCTAAAAGGGGGAAAGTAGTGCTGATGTTCTTATCATTAACTAAAAAGAGCTCAAAAACACCATGAAGGTCGCAATCGCAATTGATAAAACCGAATTCTCACTTTGAAAATTCCATAAACAAACGGTTGCTAGGTAATACATATATTAAAAGAAGATTACAAGTGAAGTTCTAAGCAGGAAACTAGTCAGATAACGAATATACCTGTTTACAATGCCATACCATTTACACATTAATATGCAAAACATTGTCCTTTCGATAGCAATTTACTAAGAACCTATGGGGTATTTTCCATAGCTTTTAATAAAGGTTATTTTTCATGCTTTTAATGGAATCTTAGCACTTCGGAGGCTAATGGCGGAGGATAAGCGTTCTAAAGTATTTTTTTTATGAAAAGCCTTTTGGTAAAGACACTCTCGTTTTCATTGTTCAACAAAGCAAGGGCCTAAAACAAAGAGTCGAGTGGATTTTTCAGTCTTAAGTCTCTTCATCTGAGATACTTGTTCGCTCGTCGATAAGTAAATTTCTTACTAGATGTTTGAAATGGCAAGTGTTCGCAACAATTCATACCTTGAAGATTTATGTGTATTAAAAATAACGACTTATGTGAATAAGCTAAAGCTTATGTTATAGTTCCCAAGTCATTTAATAATAAAAGCAAAATTAATTTATACTAATAAAGTTACAATTGGGTATATTGCTATTTTCAAAGACTGTAGTATGACAGATACTTTACAAAAAAAAAAAAAGTGCCGACCGCAAATGAAAATTCTGCGTAACGAAATTATGACGTCAGCGCAAAATCTGGCCTCTACGGTGATCTCACATAAACAGGTATCTGTCCTGGAATGCTAAAAGCGCTTCATTAATCCTGTCTACCTAACATACAACCCTGCTATTATAATCATAGCACGAACAACCTGGAAGGTCAAAAATACGATGAAATAAAATGTAGATAGAGTCCTTTAAGAGAGCCTGGCGAATTTGAAATTGTGAGGTGTGTTGCAACTTGCACTTCTAGTTACGAAAGAATACAAAAAGTAAAGCGACACAGTTTCCACGAGACCGGAGCCTTATTAGGTCGTGTTCAACGATACCCATATAAGGAATACGCTAATAAATACTTTGGTAATGCGCCCAACGCTTTAAAAGTACTACTGAATGACACTTTACAAGATCTAAGTGACAAAATGACAGCTGGATAAGCGTAAATGTTAAGTTTTTTTGCTATTATACGCGCTACCAGATGCTAGGTGTTAAGGACTTTCAACTACTTAAATGAACAGCTTATAATGTTTTAAATTGGTTGCTAATTACATTACGGTAAGTAAACTAAATCAATTCTGGTACCGGGGAGTCGGCCATGGTATTCTGGTAGGACATGACCCCACATTCTTAATTTGGTTGAAAACCGTCGTTACCTCCGATGTGTCATCATTAGGAACGCAATCAGCGCTTGCGCACAATGGGAAGGTGAGTTACAACGTAACGTATGAGTCACCACATCGACATTCGCCAAACGAAAATGGCCGCAAATATATTTTACGGACCAGTTTACGAGCACGTTCGACCAATTCCTTTTGTGTAATCGCTAAAATTCAAATATGGAATCAAATTTGCAATAACAGTCATAACTCTTGTAATGCACGAATCGGTATTTCGATTAAAGTAAATTAGACTTGACTAACTAAAC